CTAATGGCATCGACGCGAACAAATACAAATTTGCTAGTGAGTAGGTTCTTATTTACTTGAGCTTTCTGAAGTGATTGGCGAGGGGCTACTGGTCTAAGCTGAAGCATATGCTGGGTAAGGCGGTTGGTGAAGTCGGAGATATTTACTTCAGTTGAATCATTAGACGGAACTAACTGACCAGGCAATGTGAGGGTAGTACCATACACAAGTTGAGCTGGTGTACATCCCAAATCTTCTTTTACAGTTGATCGGATACTGAGAAGAACTAATGGTAGGTGTTCACTCCACTTAGATGAGTCAGCTTGTGCCATAAGCGAGCTTTTCAGTTGTCGATGGAAACGTTCCACCAGACCATTCGCTGCAGGATGATAAGCTGTAGTGGAGATATGGTTCACTCCAAGGAGTCTCGTAAACTCTCGAAACAGAGTTGATTGAAATTGAGCTCCTCGGTCTGTTGTAATAGTTGTGGGTACTCCATAGTTTGACACCCAGCGATCTAAGAAAACCAAAGCGATATTTTCTGCAGATATATCGTTGAGTGGACAAGCAATAGCCCATCGGGTAAATCGATCAATCGCAGTAAGTATATGAGTAAATCCTCTGGATGGCGGTAATGGTCCAACAACATCTATATGAACGTGTTGAAATCGTTTATCGGGTAAATTGAACTGTTTTGGAGGTGTGACGGTGTGATGATGTACCTTGGATCTTTGACATTGCAAGCATTGGCGGGCCCATTTCCGAATATCGGAGTTCATCTTGGGCCAAACAAAACGCTCGCTGATCAACTTGACTGTAGCACGCACTCCAGGATGAGACAATGAATGTAGATGTTCAAACAAAGTTTTTCGACAACTTAGTGGAACAAAAGGTCTATGAACTCCCGTTGAAACGTCGCAGACGATAGTTGTATCAGACAGGGGAATAGGTACATCCTGCAACTGTAGGGAGGAGTTTCGTCTACAAGTATGGAGTTCGGCGTCATTTTTCTGCAGCTTGGCAATATTGTCTAAGCTAATATCTATCGAAGATAGGTGATTAACGTCACATCGAGACAAAGAATCGGCTACGATATTAGAATCTCCTTTGATGAACTGGATGTCTGTTGAGAATTGTGAGATGTAATCCAGTTGTCTGGCTTCTCTCGGAGAGTGTCTGTCCAACGAAGTGGTGAAAGCATAACAAAGAGGCTTATGGTCGGTTAAGATAGTAAAATGTCGACCTTGTAGTAAGAAGCTGAAATGTTTCACTGCTAGGTAGATGGCTAACAGTTCTCTGCCAAAGGTACTGTAACGAGTTTGCGCAGGTTCCAACTTCTTGGAGAAGAAAGCAAGTGGAGTGGTGTCATTATTGAACTTTTGTTGTAAAACTGCTCCCACTGCTACCTGCGATGCATCTGTACATAAAATGAGTGAAGCTTCTGGGTTGATGTGAGATAACATTACGACGTTGGATAAGGCATCTTTTGCATTATTAAATGCTGCTTTTGCTTCTTCAGACCACTGAAATTTCTTCGAATTGCATCTAAGTAGGTCGGTCAGTGGTTGAACTATGGAGGCACATGATGGAATAAAACGTCGGTAGAAGTTGAACATCCCGAGAAAACGTCTAAGTTTCTTTAAGGAATCAGGTTCGGGAAAGTTCTTAATAGTTTCTATCTTATCTTCGGTAGGTCTGATGCCTTCGGCAGTTATTCGATGTCCTAAGAATTCAATGGAAGGGGAACCAAAAATACATTTCTTTGGATTGATAACAACTCCAAATTGTTCAAACCTTTGAAATAACAGGCTTAAGTGTTGCATATGTTCTTCCATCGATGAGCTGGCAATTAAGACATCGTCGATATATACAAAGACGAAATCAAGACCTTGGGTAACTTGGTCCATAAAACGCTGAAATGTTTGAGCAGCATTCTTTAGTCCGAAAGGCATTCTCAAGAATTCGAATAATCCAAAAGGCGTAATAATTGCTGTTTTTGCAATGTCTTCTGGAGCGACTGGTATTTGATGATATGCCCTGACCAAGTCAACTTTGGTAAAAACGGTCTTTCCATGTAAGTTCAAGGAGAAGTCGTGGAGATGAGGTATAGGATAACGATCTGGGACCGTAGCGTTATTCAAAGCGCGATAATCTCCACATGGTCGCCAGTCATGATTAGTTTTAGGTACCATGTGCAGAGGTGAAGACCATGGGCTGTTAGATGGTCGTATGATACCTAACTGCATCATATGTTCAAATTCCGACTTAGCTGCTGCTAGTTTATCGGGTGGTAACCGTCGTGGACGTGCCTTCACAGGTTGTCCTGTTGTGATGATCTTATGCGTAACTGTATGAGATATATCTTCAACGTTGTATGATGGTTTAAGGATTTTAGGAAATCGTTTCAATAAAGCAGAGAACATTTCACTCTCCGGCTTTTCTATACAGATGCTATGAACCGAGTAGTCACATGTAATACCATGGATCTTGAGTTGGGTGCAATTGTCAACCAGTTTTTTCTTGCTGATATCAACTAACAGATTGAAGTGACTTAGGAAGTCTGCACCTAGTATAGCGTGACGTACGTCAGCTACTATGAAGATCCATGTGAAACGTCGGCGTAGTCCTAAATTTAAAATCATTGACTGTTCGCCATACGTCTGTATGTTGGTTTGGTTGGCAGCACGGAGTGAAAGTTTTCCAGGTATTTTGGCTGATCGCCTGGATAGTGAGGGGGGAATAACACTGACCTCGGCGCCTGTATCTACCAGGAATAATGTGCCGGTAGTCAAATCCCTCACATAGAAAAGGCGACTGGGGTGATTGCCATTAACAGCCGTCGCCATTACTGTCTGGCTGGGGAGTTTCCCTGAGATGAGTTACTACTGTTGTACATACACGGTCGAATACACTTCAGGGCATTATGCCCATACCTCCTATGATACCAACAAATGTTACGGCTTTGAGACGGTGTTCTAGAACGTCGTCTAGATCTTGATCGCCGTTGCTTGGATACCGTATGTGACTGGTTCCTTTGTGCTCGAAGCTCGGACACTTCCAGTCGTAAATCTTGCATTTGAGATGTTAACTGGGAAAGTAACCAAAACATTGGTGCGTCCTTCATAGATGTGGAAGGGCTTGGTGGTACTGCCTCGGTAGACACGCTATTTATGCCATTATTTGATAACACATCCATGATATCGTCTGCCATTTTAGCTAATTCTTCAAGGTCTGTCGTCCTAGAAGATATTGTTAGGATTTGTTGAACATTTTGTGGTAAACGTTGTAAGAACATCTGACGTAGAATTAACTCATCTACTTTGTGTGACCCAATCAACTGGCGCATATGTCTAAGTAGTTGAGATGGCTTTTTTGTACCTAGATCACACGAAGTAAGTAGTTGTTGTATGCGTTTCTCATCGGAGAGAGTGGTCCGCTGGATGAGTGCAGCTTTTAGTTTGTCATATTGAGAGTCTGTAGGTTTGCTGTCTATGACATCGATAACCTCTCGTAGTACTTCCGTGGGAATTGCTGCTAATACGCAACCATACATGGCGATCTGCGACGTAATACCTCGAGCTGCAAACAACTGTTCAATGACTGTGAACCAGACACGTGGTTCAGCCAGATCAAATTGAGGTAGTCTTAAATCCGGCAAGGCGTTAACAGCAGAGTTCTGTGTCTCTTCGCCTTTATTACCTTCTTCAGCAACAGTGGTACGTTTAGGTGGAGCCATTGTCATATAATATGTAAGTATATAGATATACAAAATAGAAAAACTTGTGGTAACAAAAATTAAAGCAGTGCGAGTTTATAAGGACAAAATAGCAACAAAAATGTTCAAAACGAGGTAACTATCGAAACAAAAAGGTTCGAAAACGGGTTAACCATAAAAAAAGGGTTCGAAACGGGCTCACCAATTATTGTGGTGGACCTTTTCACTCTATTAGCTTAGTTACCCAAATTCAAGTAGAAAATAAAATACCAAATGAGTTTAGTTACGGGAAGAATGTATTAAAGTTTGATTACTTGAGTTTACAAAGGTCCACAGTCCACAATAAACGTAATAGACTCCAGGTGCTGCGGAAAGACTGCTCCAGTAGTAATTCTCCAATGTTAACGTTGCCGGAGGTCGACCAAAGTACGTAGGAAGAAACTACGGTGCTCCTGCAAAAATCAGAGATAGAAAGCAGGTGATTAGGATTGATCGACGGCAGTTGAGATGGTGGAGAAGACGGAGAGTCGAAGGCACAACTATATATTTATTCAAAACCCGAGGTAAAGTCAAAGTACAGAGTTTCTGGTTAAAACAAAGTGGTGTACAATATGTTCATTATTTACATAGTAGTAAAATTTGGATAAGTTGATTTTTGAGGACTCCACAAGTTAAAGGCACAAACTTTAATCGAAAGTTTTCAAGTTTCATTTGATTAGCAAGTTTTTATATTATTTGCATAAGACATACAGACTTCAGAGGTAGCGTGGAAAATTCATTGCTTTTTCAAAATACACACTTTCCCGTTCTAATTTATATTTCAGTTTAATGCTAAGTCATGTCTTCTTAAATTATTCGTGTACAAAAGCTGAAACATCTTGCCTACCACCTACCTGTAATTTGACGACAAAGCTATATGAATAATAACTGTCATTAATCACTCATAGATTTTGGTCTAAACTCGTAATATTATCTTTTTCTTCAGTAATTATCTGTCACACAACTGTTTTTAGTTGTTAAGTATGATTGAATCGGGGTGAAATCAATGGCTGATATTTAAAAAAATTACCAGTGTTTAATAGACGTTCTTGTAATTATTAATGTTGTGTAAAAGCAGTCTAGCTGGCCATTGCTATCAGAGAAGTTTCAGTCCTCCTTCGTTTTGCTGATTTTCATACATGTAAGTCTGTTTGTGAATACGCATCTTATAGGGTGATGCATGCATGACGGCATAATAACTTGAGAGATGTAATAAAATCAATGATCAACATTTTTAAGCTTTCATTTATTTGCTTTCATCTCACAGGAATATGATAAACTCATAAACGAATATCAGTTAAAAGAAGAAATGATGAAAATGAAGCACAATACAGAGATAATCAATCTTCAGCAAACTTTGGTTGAATATAAAGAAAAATATGATAAAGAATTGAGTGAAGTTAAACAATTTGCTGAGCAGTGGAAATCTCATCAATGTCCAAATATTGAACGGATTTCAAGTGAAAAATTACAACTTGAGGCTAAATTAAAAAATTTGGAAGAAAAATATTCTTTGTTAGAACTAGATAAAGAAAGTGAGTGTACCCCATAACTGTTCATATTGACGGAGCCAAACAGTATTCATAAAAGAGTAAAGTGAAAGGAAACAAACTATAAACGAAGTGAAATGATACATAATCTTATTCAGTCTAATAGCACTGCCTTTAAAAATTAAGAATGTAGATGATAGAGAAATCGTTTAATTTTTAATTTTTGTTAACTTTATAGTGTAATTTAATTCGCTATTTTTACTTCACGCTGAACTTTAACAGTTGCGAGGTTGTAAAACTATCAGTTATTTTTGCAATTAGTAGTGTTCTATGAGCTGGTTGGTTTAGCTGTGGAGCTTCCGTCGTCGACTATCAATTGCAAATCATCCACCTAAGCTACAGATCTTCTCTATTATCAGTTATTTTTGTCTGAATGTGAAATTAAGCCTTTTTGAGTTATAATTTGTGTATCATAATTGGTGTTTCTGCCTAACATTTTTCCGCATAGTCTTCTTATACCATATAACAATTCGTGTCAGATAAACATTATGTTTCAAGGAATGTTGTTTTAAATTTAACTAAATTTTTATTTTCCTCATCATCGGCTCTACACTAATCTATACTTTTGTACACTAAAATCTGACCAATCAAGTGGTTATTTTAGTTAATCAGTTTTAGGTATAGGAGAGGTGAAATTAAGAGGTTAAAAGTCATCAAAACAATTAACTAATAGATGTTAGTAGTAAGATATGTAAGTTTTGAAGCAGAGGTGAAACTTAATTATGAAGTTCGAGATAAGTTAATTCTTAGGCGTTAGCAACAAGTTATTGCGTAACTGAGAAGTGATGACGCCTAAGAATTAACTTATCTCGAACTTCATAATTAAGTTTCACCTCTGCTTCAAAACTTACATATCTTACTACTAACATCTATTAGTTGATTGTTTTGATGACTTTTAACCTCTTAATTTCACCTCTTCTATACCTAAAATTGATTAACTAAAATAACCACTTGATTGGTCAGATTTTAGTGTACAAAAGTATAGATTAGTGTAGAGCCGATGATGAAGAAGTAATTGAATATGAGTATATTTCTTAGCTCAATCTGTTGTTTATTATTAAGTGCGTAAATGGGAATTTGGAAGTCACTAAATTATAAGTGTCTGAATATTTTCTCTTTTGAGTTGTATCATAAATTACGTTGGTCAGATCTAATTAATAAAGTGTAAATGTTTGCTTTCACTAAAAAGACTTTCGTAACAACTTTATTCGAAGTATTGTAAAAATTTTTTGGATTTTCTGGTGAATGAAAAACAAAGCCATTTTGTTTTTACTGACATTTCTCTACTTATTGATTGCAACTTCATCAAAGTAATACCAGAATTTAACCAGAATTTACAAAACCTCAGCTAGTAATCAGGAACTCGATCATAATTCTTCAATGTAAGGTAATTTTACGTTGTCAGGTTGAAGAATTATGTTTAAGTTGAATCGACTTGAATTACCTTGACAAATAATGACGCTAGATTGGTCAATTCATTTGATATGTGTTCTGTAGCATTTCAGATATGATAACTGAGTTTGGTGTAATTGCTAAAGTGGCTATTAATCCATGTTCTACTGAATGTTATTTTATTTAACTACTCTAACAAAATTTAATTCACAAATCGTACTGATCGATAAGTTATCATCTTAATTTTTTAACACATTTTTACGTTGACTACGTTTCTTCTACACTTCCTATCAAAAACTTGATTTCAGTTAACTAGTCCCTGTAAACAGTTCATTCCCATAATGATTTTACCATAAATGTGGAATAAATCATAAGAAAGTTCTTGGTGAATTTGTATGTTTCAGTGGGATTAGTCAGTTGGATACTTCATAAGTACGAATACAATGCACTTTTGCCATCAATCTGCAAGAATAGGAACTTTACTCAAGGAAATGATAGTTGGAATCTCTTTATACCCTTCGCTTGGGTTATTCTTTTCTACTGTCATAAGGATTCAGGCAGTTGAGAAAGGTTTTGATAGCTATGAGTTAAGTTGACCGGTTTTATAGTTGTACATGACGACAATCCTTCTTCATTTTCAGTCATTTTAACTTTACATGGTCTTAACACCCTATAAAAGTCAACATTTACCTACTTATTATTATTATTTTTACCTTAGTAATACGCTCTTATATTTCCTTTGTGTACCCTAACGGATTTTATCGCATCATATTCCCACAGCTGCGGGACCTTATAATTATCTGTGGTCACTGTGTAACGGCAGAACACAAGAGTGGACGGTTGATGTACACATATAGCGAAATTATGTATACCATATATTAAAATCATCATTTGTACAGATCTTCTGTGTCGTGCTCTTTCTGCCCTTCGTAATGTGTTTCTTTGTCTTCTTTTCGTGTCTACCATGTTTCACCACAGTACTAGTTCATTAGTGCTCTTTGACGTCAAATCCATCTGTACTCTCTTTGATATTTTTGTACCGATGAACTTCTCCTTTATGCTTTTCAGGTGTATGCTGAGTGATCTAATGTATACAATGGATAAATGTTAAGCACACTTTCCTACAACATTTAGACATAGGATTACTAGTGAACTAGAATTCTGAGGAGCCTAACAACGTGTTTCACACATTTAGCTAATGCAATCATTCCTGTAAACTATCTACTTGAGGAATCCTACTAAAGCCACTCACTCTCTCACTCCACTCTCCTCTCTTTCTTTTCTCTCTCTCTCTCTACATATATATATATATATATATATATATATATATATATATCTTAAATTGAATTTATTCACTCTGGAGTTTGTAATATTTAAGGAGTTCAAGGAATACAGCAACAACATTGTGCATTAGAATGGTCACTTATGTCTTTTCTATTAATTTATAATAAAGCTGTAACTTTCACCCAGTTTTTTTTCTCATTGATTGATACTCAAGGCTAACTTTATTTATTTGAAGAATGAATAAACAAAAACTTAGTTTTATTGTTATTTTTGCTATTTGTTAATTTCTTCAAATTAGTTATCAGATCTCAAAATGTGGTCGACTCAACACCATAAATTGCATAAAAATTTAGACAGTGATAACCTATGCAGTGTCTACCAGCTGTACTACATCAGCCTGCCGACGTCGCTAATTTTATCTATTCCTTTCAGCTTGTGATATACATATACCCATATGTGCTAATTAGCACCAGTGACAGTTGTTAGATGTCATTTTTACACTTTCTAGTGTTCTAGTAAGTAACAAATGAAGGATGGTGTATTCAGCTAGGCTATTCTCAGGTTATTTGTTCAGCATTTCATAGAGGTCTACTCCACCTTTAGTTGGTTAGTAACATTGATTAGGTGATGAAAAGTGATCTCGAATGAATGGATGATACAGTAAAGTATTTTGTTTGTACTCGCTTCGGTGGTACATATACTAAAATTGGAACGATACAGAGAAGATTAGCATGGCCCCTGCGCAAGGATGACACGCAAAATCGTGAAGCGTTCCATATTTTTAACCTCGCCAGATTACTAGCTTGCTAGTTTTCTAGCCGGTCCCAAGCCTGGATAAAGAGGGAGGGTTGGGGTGTGGTGCTAGCAACTCCACCCCCGAAAAACAACCAAATCGCTACAGAAACTTCAACGCACAAATATATTAAAAATTCTAAAAATATAAACAGTAGCCTTATTTTTCGCTAGAATCGGGGAAGTGAAATGATGCAGGCTGGTTAAAGCCTTCGGGAAGCCAGTCAGCCGATGTGCCTTCTTTCGATGAAAGCAAAAGTAAGGATGGGTACCTGGAATGTTCGTATAATGTACGAAGCCAGCTGGGAAGGCTGCCCAGATAGCCGCTGAAATATTGTTCACACTGAAGTATTACTTAATATTTCATGTTCATTTTAAATTATATATATTAAGGCTATATCTTTTTAAAACAAATGTTTTATTCTATTACAGGTAAAATAAAAGACCTTATAGAGTCATATGAATGTAAAATTCAAGAAACTATAAAATTCATAAAAGATGAAAAAACAAAAAAAGAGAATGAACTTCTGACGATTAATAAAAATCTTTTAAATGATTTAAAAACTCAACAACATATCTATGAACAGTCAGTAATTAGAAATAATGAAGAAAAAGATGAATTGGTTAACAGCGTTAAAAGTACTACAGAGAAAAACTTAACTGATTACTGGCAAAATATGTTAAATCAAGAAAGAGATGAATTTCAGACAGAATTATCTAAGCTACATAAATCCAATGAAGAAATAAAATATAATCTAGAAAATCAAATCCAAAGTTTGAAGTCGCAATACGATCAAGTAAATTTTGTTTTAGTTTGAGTATGTGTGTCTGTAAGTGTACGTGCAAATGTACTCATTCAGATGCTTATAATATTTTATAACTTCGACTATAAACTTCTGGTGTACTAAGTATCAAGTAGGTTTTAAAACAAACCGTCAAAAAGTATATCTGATGAGCTACTGTGGTGAGAGCAGGCTGCTAGCCAATTTGTAGACATTAATTTACGTCAATGTCTAGGTCACCAATATTGGCCGTGAGAAAATATGAACAAGGCTGATTCAACAACCAATCACAGCGGACTTAATGTGGGCAAATAAGATTGGCAAATATATGGCTTAACTTTCTGAGAAACTAGAAACAACCAATCAGAAGACTGTGTTTTTCTGGTTGAATAAGCCTTAATAATGTACATGGAATATATATAAATGAGTGCTGATTTCCGTAATAAAACGATCTACTGCCGGCCCTTGTCTTCTGTTGTTACACTACTAATCAATGTTATTCTAACATTCTGGTTTGACAGCAATTTCGTCTTTCTGGTCTATTCATGAACTTTTGCACAATGACTGGTGTTTTTCATTTCAGGTTTTTTTCAACTGTGAGAATATGTTTCTAAAAGGTTAACATTATGTGGTCTATATCACATCGCTGTTATGATACCATGAAAGTCGCATCTGCAGCATTTTGTTACTCCTCATCTAAATGTCAGTTTCTCCTGACTCTTTGAGGTGAATATTTCAAGAAACCTTGAAGAATACTTTTAGAAGATTTTGTGCTACAGCTATCATGGAAAAATAAAACTGACACGATAGTCTGTTTTCGCCTGGACTTAGACCTTAATTTCATATTGTCGATTCATTGAAGCTCCAGAAGTTTACACCTGTCATTATTTATACCTCTATTTGTGGAGAAAACTTCCCAAATGGGTAGTTTTTGTTTGAGTTAACAAGTTTCTTTGATAACGATTCCCCCATGTCTTTCTTCCTCTCTTCAGCTTAAATCAGAATTTACAAATTACCAAACAAAATCAAAATCAGACTGTGAGAAACTCCGTAGGAAAATCGGTGACTTACAAATCATTGAGGAGAATTTAAAAAGAGAATTAAACACAAAAGATGAAAAGTTGATTAACTTAGAAAAAGCGGTAAACAGATGTTTTGGTTTAGCGATTTGTTCATTTATTATTTTATTTCTATTCAATCTCTTGAGCAAGGTTATTAAGTTTATTTAGTTTAAGGTAAATTTGGAGTGATAATATCACTAATTTATTCAGAAAGAATTAAAACGAAGTGTAAGATCAGTGTTGAATTTGTGAGGAGATAAAAGAAACTTTTAGTTTTGCCACTGCATTTGATAATTTGACGATCAATAGGTACAGTGCCTTTAAAATTCACTATTTTTAACTTTTCGACTAAGTTTACAGTTTTCTTTCCAATTAAACTCTATAAATTGGGCGATGTTGTTATGAAATGACCTAGGAAAGCAACCAGTGTGTTATCATAAAGAAACACTTAAACACCAACCATTCATATGAAACCGAGTAAACTTTTAATGCATATAGGGAAGTATGACCGGTTTAGAAGCTGCATCTTACTACCTTGTTTGTTGACTTTCAGACTAGTAATTTGGTCACTTGTTTGTGTCTTATCTTAACTCATATTGTTACGTCAAAAAGTACTTTATTTGGAGGTGACAAAGTGAAATTACTATACGAGAGTAGAAGATTGTTTTGTGACGCGATAAGTGTCAAATGCTGTTTATTTCGGAAGAAAATGTGGTATCATTGAATAGTAATTACCAAGGCAGAGAGATTCATCATTTATATGTTGTCGTAAAATTATATTTATGAGTCTTTTGAATCACATACCGAAACTACAATTAAAAGTGACATTACTAAAAAGCTTCTTATACATTGCGTTTTGACAAATCAAAAATATGTACGAAGACCATATAGAGGAATGCAAAGTTTTATCATAAACTATGAGTAATTTATGGCTAAATGTACATATAGGTTTGTCATAACAGCAGTTTATCAAGCTGATAATAAAAGATACTGTAAATCGTTACTAAGCAACTGAACCCCTTTACTGTATTAAATTATACACACTTATATTAAAACTAAGTTTATAGCTTGACTACTCAATTGATAGAAAGTAATATGATTTCAAGGTTGAATTTTCTAACCTGTATTGTAATCAAAAAATCTTTTAAAGCAGTGCTTTCAATGGTATAAAGATAGTTTCTAAAGTATTTAGATCATATCCAGAAGTATGTTTTAATAAAAGAGATAACATACTCACAGTTTTAGAGACAGAAGATGTACACAGATTTTATAAAAAATATAGATCCAGTGGAAGGAGGAACGCAATTTTTACTTTTTTATTTTTCAGTTTTTTTTTGATTATAGCTTGATTCCACACTGTATTTTTGGTACAAGTATAGAATTTTCAGTATGCGATATCGGTAGCCCAAATTTTGGAGGCCGACCATTGATATCAGGTGTGCGTCGGCAGGGGATCGAACCTCGGACCATGTGTATGGTCGGCGAGAGTCCTAACCACTGTGCCTAAAGCGATCAAAGCGTTTCTTCTGAAATACTTGAAACAACCTCACAAACTTATCACAGTTCCTCTTTTTACTACCTTACAACACCACATTTATAGACTTGAATTCACAGCGAAGACGTGTAGCACAGGTGGATGCTTCTGATTTAGTCGTGTTCTTTGAGCGATTTTTTGCAAGTAAACCAAACAGCTCACAGAACACAGGCGTACCAAAAATGTTTTCTAAACTATAACTTTTTGAAAAAGTAAAAGCTTAGTTCTAAACTATATGAAAAATTAGCTTAGACTCGAAAAAGGTAAACAGTTTGAACTCTAACGGTTATACATTATTTCTGGAGTGTTTGAAGTAGTACGAATTCATAACCTCTAAACTGAAAAGGTTACTGGTTCACTGTAATAATACAATCCACCTTCATCAAAAAAATATAGTTCTGTGGAATTCAGAAAACTTCGGAGGACTAACTTTGTCTTAAGAGGTAAGAGTTCGTGGATGCTTCTAACTGAAACTAAATGAAATGTTTAGTCTCTTATTGAAAATAATAACTTAAAATAAAATTCACTCAGGATGAACTTCTAAAACTATGTCTAACAAAAAAATGTAAATTCATATGCCAGGAGTATTTCATTAGATTGACAAAATTAATACTCTAGTTATTCTTTCAGTCATACTCTTGAAGTATATCCGATATGAGTTGGGACACAAAAAATGAAAACTAGAGTTCTTCGATAAATTAAAAAATAACTTGGGGGAGATTCCCAGATTAGTACTGGGAAGTACGAGTTGCTAAATTTTGTAATTCTTAAAATAGTGGATTCTTTAGCCACTACATTATCATAATTATCATAAGATTCCAGTTTGCCTACATTCTGATTTTATTACGTGCAATTACAATGAATAAATAACAGATAAACTTCAATTACTGTTGACATTTTATTGATGTAAATAAAATTTTATCTCTGTTCCATTACAGGGGAATGCTAAATATTTTCAGCTGAGAAAAGAATGTGATGAATTGTTGGAAAAGATAAAAACAACTGAAGATCAAATAGAATTGAAAAATGGTAACAGAATCAGCTAATTTTTGAATGAGAAAAAATTGATGGGTATTCATAGTTTATAATTTGAGCTAATTAACTTTAGTGACTCTGGATACACTTCATTATCCTCTCTCTTCCCTAAATGTAAAATAAAGGAATGTCAAGAATCAGATTCCAGTTTGTGTTGGAAACACGGGTGAATATCTTTAAACGTCTGAATGCTGACATATTTCCGACTAACAGCAAAAGACATTTTGTCATATCATTCGAAGACATCAAAAAATGTATCAAAATTCTATTCACTCATACTCCTATCAGGCTTACGAGTATACGTTACATTCTTAGCCCACCTTTTATTATTGAATAAACTGATAAGCATAAGTTGTTTTCAAGTCAAATGAACAGTTCAGCAATAAAAATTTGTCTTATAAGCCAAAACATTGGCGGTTTTGACTGAAATCGTAGTAACCAGTTTTCTCCACACTGACAGTTGTGGTTTGACTGTTGAAACTTCACAGTTATTGAGATAATCATTTAGTCTGCACTTTTGCATTAGTATGCTTGAATATGTTATGGTGATAGAAATCTGAACCTCATGCTACCAGTATTACTTTAGTTTCATTACTTTCTGAGATAAGATATTTTTGTGCAAAGCTGGCAACATCATTCTAAGACTCATCTTCAGTGGGGCTTCAGGAGGAAGTAGGCTTGTGATTACTTGTAAAACATTTGTTCTCAGCTAACCAGATTTACTCTTTTTTCTTGGCTATTGTACTGTTGTAAGTTTCACTTTTTATCTGTAAGTATTGTAATGATTTCTAGTTGCATAGTTTTATTCTCTATTAAGATGCCGTTGACATTCATATCAAAGTCATGTTGAATAGTCTCAAACGAAATACTGAGGGTAGGTCATACATGTTTGGGAAATGGGATCCTTGGGGTTTCAGTTCATTGTAGATATTGTTGTCAACCCAATTCTTCTTTAGAAGATCTCTCATTATTTTTGTCACGCGTTTTTCATTCGATTACGTAATCTTTGGCTTCAACCTGACCCATTTGATATAGTGTAATTTTGCTTGTCTCTTGTTTCTATGACTTGATTTGAATTCAGTACGTCGTTACCTAATTTATAAGTCACTCCTCATCTTACGCATCTCTTATCTCTGTTACGTAACTCCTTTGTCGTTGTATGCACACACTTACTTTGTTTAAACTTTAACTCCTTGTGTAAAAACTAATATAAGCGTAATTTTCTGAGTACTGTTCACTAATTCTGGAACCTCTTGTAAACTGACATCATGTAAAATTTGCAAGTATGTTAACACTCTTCTGTACACAAACTTAATATTTTTTGGTTCAAGTAGACATTTCTCGAGCAAGTATTTTCTCCACCTGTCTTGTTAAGATACATTGTGTCTACAACCTTCTTTGCTCTGCATAGTCGTTTTCCACTGCAGTTAATTCCGTTGCGTTCGTATAGTGTCAACAAATGAGCAATTGAATTGTAGTTTTTGTTGTGCAGAACTTGATTTGTTTGTTGACTTGCACTTGTATTCTTGTGTCCTCCGTTCACTTGGCTAATATACAAAAGAATACAAAACTCTTTTCTGGTTCCACCTACATTTGCCAACCTACCAGCTGGATGTACTAAGATAATGGAAAAATTGACTATTAGGTAGACGAATATTAATTGAATTAGAGTTATTTATCAAATTTAGGTGCTTTCCTTATCCATGATTAGTGAAAGTATTGTCGGCTGAAATAAATAAGCAAGGTTTTATCAGCCTTGACTTTATATAACTGGTAGGCTCCTATGAAAAACAAAATGACAGTGTAGTTCACTGTCTTCATGTAACAAAGTTAACCTCTTCATTTTATTTTCATACTCTGATTGTAAATATAAGATAGTAGTGCATGATAACATCTACTGTAACATCAGATCTTGCCACGCTAGCATATTACAAATGCTTATAATGTCTGAATATACATTTAAAATTAACTAAAAGGTTTATATTGAATAACTAATTAGAAATATTCATTTTATAGCTATTTTAATCCTTCTTAAATCCCATGACAATCATATTTCCTTATCATTACCTACTCTCCTTTTAACAGTTTAGGCACATGTATTAGAAAAACTTTTGTTATCATTATGGTTCAGCGGCAATACCTCTCTTAAAAACAAATGTCATGCCTCCAATAAATTCAGTTAATCCAAAAGTGTCATACACGCTTTTTTACTGATATATACATTAAATATTTAAGAAGTTCTAAAACTAAGGAACTGTCTAAAATACTGAATTTCTTTTTCATGATGCAATAAATGTTTTGATCGTTACTTTTCTTCGAGTTAATCTAATTCACATGAAAATATCGTTAAACTGTAAGCAATTTAATCGTGCTAAGTTTGAAATCAGTGTAATCCATTTAATCAGAGAATTATACTTTGTCTGTGATAGGAATCAACTTAGAACAGCAACCATCGTATGATTCATTGTGTGATCGAATGACTGTAAAATTTTATCATCTTTTTCTTACTTTGGTGTTGGTCAACTATCCAAACAATCAGAATATTTATTTTTCACCGACCTAGCCGAGTCGCCTATCAATGAGAATAATCTATTTTCACTGCCGTAGGTTGATTTTAATCTGGTTAAAATCTTTTTCCTAATAAAATCGTAGCCTAATAGTCACAGGTCAGCTTTTGTCTTCTGATATTTACGTGGCTCAGTGAAGCAGAAGTTACCATGAAGGGATAGGCGTATTAAGGATATCAGTTGAGCTGTCTGTTGCATCAGTGTTATTATACCTACGTATAAGTCCACTTGGTCAAATCAACTGTCAAAGGGATCATATAGGTTGTCAACGTAGATCATAAAGGTCCGTTCTTTTCACTATCAGTAGACATGCTGTTGTTAAGTTATTCACATCCATTTGGAAAAAACAGCTAGAAATTTAGGCCTCGCAATTACAGCTATAAATCTACAAAGCGTCTCTATCAAGTGAATGAAATTCCTTCGGATTTAAGTCATAAAAATTTACAGCTTATCAAACAACTCTGAAAGTTAGTGATAATTTTTTCTGTGGTATGAGATTAGGAACATATCTGATGACCGGAATAACACTTGTATCCTGTTGAATGAGTCATGGCATATGTATCACATTAATAAAAGGGAAGTTTAAACTGTATAGTCAATAGACTTTGATTCATGACACCGAGTGAAGCATTTTGTTAGTATTTTTTTTTATTAAAGAAGTAAACTGATTTCTACACACTCTCAGATTAAATGATTATTGGATGCGTTATTGCTATTATTCCTTGGGTTCCAAGTGGAAAATAAGACTTCAACAGCATATCTCCATTTTGTATTGTTCTCTGCAATCCTATTTAGTTGGCTCCACAACTGTTCATAGGCTCTCATCTCCTCTTCATATACCCAGTCTTCGTTTACTATTAGAATCCTACTAGTAGGTCTGGCACACGATGTCACGCAGAGGTCTCCTAGATGTGTTATTAGTATTTGAATATAATTACTAAATCTATAGAACATATGATTAAATATACTTTGATTTATTAAATAAAGAGGGAAGACTAGTTGAAGAGTAAACAATAAATGCGATATCTGATAGTTTAGTCAAAAATCCAGTTTACAGTGAAAGACAATAACGAATTAGGAGTAATAACATGCAGCAAAAATTCTGAGGAAATTAATGGTAAAAATGTTTGTAGGAGATAAAAGTTTGAATGTATTATCTTAGGTGGCCGTCATTTGATTCGCACACCGTAGACACTTCTTGTAATCCCTTACGAAAATTTTACCAAGAACAACCTGTTTGATAGTATTGAGAAGTGTTTCAATATGAAATCTGGTGCAGCTATTACTTTAAAACTAAAAAAGATTCATTCCGAGAAAAGTCGTAATCAAATATGCAGTTTTTCAAAAAAATGTTTAGCCCATTCTACTTATTTGTGCTTGAAATGGATTCTTTAATACATTATTTATTTTTGAATAACATTTTACCAGAAATACAGATGAATAAGCAGAAAGTGATTTTAGCCTCCAAATATGAAGATATGCGATCGAAACTGAAAGAAACACAAAAATTACTAAAAACCTCTCAAAATGAAGTACAGTCGTTAAAAAATCAACTTTCTCTACAACAATCAAACCTAATCAACCTTAAAGAAATATTCACATCAAAATTAAAAGTATGCTATATTTAATAATTACTTGTAAAGCGTTTTAAATGTTGTTTTTGTTGAGTACTGCCACCATAAGATAAGTACAATGAGTAGAAGTAAGATTCATCTTAATATTTTATCATCTTTAATTAGTATTCCTGTGTGAAATACGAAATGAATATGAGTCTCAGATCCCTATTTTCCGATGCCTGATATTTTTAACCGCATGTTAGTGCAGTTGTTCGATTATTTTCTGGAAGTTTCAGTCCAGGTTATTAACTGAAACATAAGGTAGGAATGGTAAATCATTATATATATATATATATATATATATATATATATTTATGGTGAGAGCACGCTGTTAGCCAATTGGCAGACATTAATTTACGTCAATGTCTAGGTCACTAATATTGGCCGTGAGAAAATATGAACAACTGGTTGGCTGATTCAACAACCAATCACAGCGGACTTAATGTGGGCAAATAAGATTGGCAAATATATGACTTAACTTTCTGAGAAATCAGAAACGACCAATCAGAAGACTGTGTTTGTCTGGTTGAATAAGCTTTAATAATGTACATCAAATATATATAAATACGTGCTGATTTCCGTAATAAAAGGATCTGTTTCCGACCCTTGTCTTCTGTTGTTACATATATATATATATATATATATATATATATATATACATATATGGACACTTGGCAGTCTATTCAACTCAGAGTAAAATCAAATTTTGTGAAGTGTTGATCCGGTCAAACTGCAGTATTTTCCTCCTTTATACTATCATTACTATTTCAATCAATCACGGATTTCAGATGAACCGAGCTCAGAACAAAAGTCATCTCACCATTCTACTTACAATTGTATTTGTGCTTCAGTCCTGAAGATAACATTTATGTTTATTCCATATTTTTTATTTTTTTAAGAATGCAAGACAACTAAGTGTTGGTTATCTATCATATATCGAGGAAATGAAAAGAGAATTATTACACATCAATAAACTTATAAGACAAGAAATGAAAACAAAATATGAATGTTATTATCAGTGCTTATTAGCGCAGAAAACTGCAGATTTACGCAAGACATTATACACTGAAATTGAACAGAAAGTGAATAAGGTGAGACATAATAAACTGGTTTTATCGCTACGTTATAATAATTCATGAAAGAGTCTCCTGTGGTAGTATAAAGAATTCATTGGAAGACGAATTTTTGGTAATTTTTAATTTTCATAGTTTCGAGAGCTTTGGAAAATTTTGATTTTATTAGAAAAGAGGTTAGCTGTCATATATGTGCACCAATTTCGGAATATGATGCAACTGGTTTGTTAGATAAGAATTTCAATATTGTGGTACATAGTAATTTTACAGCCAATGTGTACAATGGATAAATTAGCACTTATCACATAGTTTTCAGTTAATGATTTCGATAGTAACACCCTGCCAAATTACCTGGCATGAACAGACATGGTTCTTGGCCTCCCATAGAAATGTCTTCATAGAACCTCACCCTCATAGTACTCGTCAAATAGGTACTGTTTACTGATTTCTCTTCATAAAAGTGAGAAGGCTAATTCTAAGTCACTGTGACGAATACTGGGTTAGTGGTTACGAAGAGTTCACCTAGAAATGTTAGAAAACGTTGATGGCGAATCAGTGATATGCATGGAATGCAGGATCTATTAGAAACAAGCAACTTAGGAACTTTGTTACCTACCGTTAACGTGAGAATTCAACTGTGTTGTATTACAGATCGAGCTTTAAACCAGATGACTTAGAAGTCTCACTTTTAAGGGAATTATATGCATCAGCTTAGATTTCCATGGAGTACCTGAGGTCCTTTAGAAACTGTAAGATTCATCAACACTCAGTTAGGATTCGTTCTGTCTTGAAATATCCTAAATTAAAAATCATTTTGGTTTTGCTTTCAACCTAATGTCTTAGATCGTTTTTTCTCTGAGCAGATTTATATGCTGTGATGGTAGTTCTTGTGGACAATAAACCTAGTAGTCTTTTGAAAAATTTTTCAATACTTACCTAAATTACAAGCGCTCCATATGCAGGAAAAATTCCGAATACTATTCTGTGAATTCGAAGGACTAAGAAATCAGCTGTTAAGTTACTTGCGGACAGAGAAACTTGCAGTTTGTAAAGATTTCCAAGATCATAATGTAACTCAAGCATGATATAACAGATTTAGAATTGTCATACCAGTCAACAAAGGTTTTCGATATGACATTGATGTCCTAATTTACCAACGCCTAGTTAAGGTTGGTTCAATTTTGGTTCATTTACTGCAGAATAGTTTTGCAATTCATGCTTGGTTCATATATTTTTCTTCTGTGGCGTTTTGGTTTTCATTGTGAAAGCAAGACCTTCATTTTAAAGCGTTAAATGCAATCATTAGAACAAAGTAAATAAGTAAAACAGCACACAACTTAATCCAAAATAGACTAAACTTATACTACAATGAAACATTACTATTTACTGATTACGTTTCTGGCACACCTTATTGCTAGTAATCATATCAAGACATTCATGGAACTTTCAAATTTTGTTGATACGATTCTATTATTTCTTATCCTTTGATTTTATTGTTAGTAATATTTTCCATATCCCTAGTATTATCGTTGCATCATTGCTGTTGCACATGTTGGTTGTAAGTTCGATAAAAAAAGGTTCATTGATCAACCGCTCCCTTCTCCTACCTATCTATATTAGTATTCAGAACTGCAGCTCTTTCCCACACTACTGTGTGATTGTTTGTTAATGCATGCATTGCGATTGCTGAGTTTTTCTCTAAGCTAATCATCTTCCCGATGGCAGTCATTCTTCACTGAGCTAAATTGCTGTATTTCGATGAACTAACTGACTCGAACCTCACAGTCATTGCAAGGTATATTTTGGTGGATCGGGTATCAGGTTCTTTAGACTACAGTGGTTGTTTCTGAGTGAGTTCGCAGGCTTGAATGCAATCATAATTCCTTCTGTATTAGAAATCCCACGTAGAGTTTCAGATGTCCCTTATTTATATGGCAGGAATGAAGATGCCTTAAATTCTCTCCTGTGTATGGTACGGTGAATGGTTTCACTACTATTTCTCCTTCTTTGTGAGCTTCTGAGGTCTTCCTAATGAATTTCATAGGATAAGTGTTTAGCACCGGCGCTTTTTTTATCTGTTTCATTTTACTATTTAGGTTTTCTGTTACAGTGCTTGGAATTATTCCTCGGTTTGTTTGACATTAAATTGAGCCTGCCTGTACAGATTACAGATGAAATAAATTAAAGTCTAAATATCTATTAGAGTGCGTTGGCTTTTTTGAACGTTAGTGCATAGTTTCCGTACTCTTGTTTGTTTGATTTTATAGTCTAACTCAGTGCTCGATTTTTACTCATACTATTGTAACAACAGAAGACAAGGGCCAGACAACAGATCGTTTATTAAAGAAATCAACACATATTTATAGATTTTCACGTACATTATTATAGATTATTGTGAGCAAACAAACACAGTCTTCTGATTGGTGGTTTCTCGCTGAATTTTTAATCTTTCATCTCCTTGTGGCCGTTTCTTGAAGTTCAGATTCTCTATCTGAAAATTGTATTCGCCTAGGCAAAGTCAGCTGTGATTGGTTGTTGAATCAGTCTTTGTTCTTATTTTTCTCCCGGCCAATATTGGGGACGTAAACATTGACGTAAATTACTGTCTACCAATTGTGGCTGTCAGCCAGCTCTCACCACACTGAGTTTGCTTAATATATGAGTGATATTTAGTTGAGACAATGTAACTCAATGTTTTATGCCTCATTTGCTTGAGAAACATGTCATATGAGGGCGTAGAGTAAGGTTATTTCTCCTGTTCATTGTTTGGTGAAAGAATTTACTACTATTAAGTTTTAGGAACGTGTTTGTTAAGAGAAAATAGCTGTTTTCATAGAATCTATCAAAGCTGATATCATTTACAAAACTAATGTGACTGTGTGAGCTAAGACTTAAGTATGACACTAATTGCAACAAAGAACCTTAAGTGAATGATAGATATGTCTATTCTACTTGAGAATTTTCTGATTCAATCAGCTGTGAAAATATTAGATAACAGAGTCCGACTTGTTGTTGTAAGTAGGATTTTATTAAGCAGAAGTGTATCATATACATAAACTTTCCGCATTTAAAAAATTATGCCAAGTTAGTGATGAAGCAACTTGTTCTGATTGACTGTATGAAGTTCAAAATTATCCAGTCAAACTGTCCTGCCCATATAAAGAACATCTATTTTTTTGAATCACGAAGCCTCTTGTCATGGTGACGACTGATTTTAAGTGCTGATTTCAATTTCAACAGCTCTATATCAAGAACTACTGAAAATCAGAGTCATTGGACAGGTGTTTTGTTCCAATATATGGTTATGCAGAACTGCATTCATGGAACTGTGTGGCTGCGTACAGTAAAAGTTACCACTGTCCTACTGGGGTAAAAAGTAATGCTCCATAAGTTACAGCCTCATTCTCTTTATGCTGACTTAGTTTTGTCAGGGAATATCAGTTCTTCATTCCTACTACACACGTGCTCTTTTCACTCGATGAATAAAGCTTCAGTTATTTGTCATTCATTTTATCCGTGTTACTATTATTACTTTGATTTACTATATAATTCTTGATTAATTTTGTCAGGGTTATTATTAAGTGCCAAAGCTTCTTTTGCATGGCTTACTTCTTGGCGTATACTTTGTCGCTACTTAGTTGCTTTGCGCAAATTTGGAGCGTGCTACTGACAAGATTTATAAGTAGTATGCATATGCAGATATAAATATGTACATGATCTGCAATAATATCGAACAGCACAAAGACGGATTTAACTAACAGTACTTGTATAAAAAAGTATAGAAAACATGAGAGGAAGAGAAAGAAGCCCAATACGGAAAACGAAGTAACACATTACTGAAGATATGTGCAAATTGTTATTCTAATATGTAGTGGAAGTATTCTGCCCTATCTGAGTATCGAGTTGCCAATAAACAATTCGATAACCAAATTATCTTGTGCTTTTCTGTTACAATGTCACTTAGAGATTTAGCTAACCTTATGTTCATTGACATGAAAAGATGGATAACACCATCTAGAACAGGAAATTTAAAACACCAATGATGCTGTGATACAAAGACGGAGCATCTGAAACCTTACATAGGGTTCTTACAAAGGTGGGGATAAAAGTGGCTTTCAGACCCACGAACTTAGTTTGTAAGGGGATTCCATGAAGTCCATTAACAAAATGAATAAGTTTATCCGATATCCTGCAAAGACTATGAGGTCAAATATATAGGCACAGTGGCAGACCATGTCCAACTAGACTAATGGAACTAAAAATCTTAGCGAAAAGCTGGATTAGATGGCTCTAGTAAACTAAATAATTCAGAAAAATGTTCAGCTCTGGTATTATACGCAGTTGCATACAGCCATGCACTTAGATATCTCAAAGTGACAGTATTAAAACCCATTGTAATAGAGTAGATGGGGAGTTGATAAGTGTTTTTTTTATAGAATCAAATAAGAACATGCATAACAGGAGTTACACAACACCTATCTGTAACATCTAGAAAATTCTGATACCCTTACAACAAATAGAAAAGAAAAATGAAATCCATAAAGACCAGATATCGAACTTGTGTACTTCTAGTTAATATGATTACAGACAGTAAATTCTGTTCGAAATGTCATCTGGTAAATAATATCGTCCTACTGTATGGGATTACAAACAAGGTAATTCATATTGAATTGAATTTTTTGATTTTCCCGTCGATCAAAAATTCAATTCAATAATTAATATGACCCGTTGCACAAGAGGTGGCTCTCGTGGCCCAAGTGGTCTAGTGGATAACGCTTTGGCGTTTGAAACTATGGGTACTGGGTTCGAACCTCGGTGGGAACATCATCACTCACTGAGAAATGCAGGTACATCCAATGACGAGTCCCAAATAGGACGAAATGCGCATCCTGGATTCCACTGCTATCCACCATCCACCAATTGTATACTAAGGTAATTCATACTTTCAGACAAAAATAAACAATATACACCTCTGGCTAAGCTTGACAATGAAATTAAAGTGGGTATGAAACATGACTGTTTTTTTGGTGCATTTAACTATATTGTGTTATCTTAACATTAAAAGTGTGTAGGAGGACTGCTAAACTTTTAGGTTATCATTCAAAGTAAAAATCTTGTCACGTAGTGATTAATTAGGGGTGGCGCAAAATCAAAACTTTTATTATCTCCGGACATACTCACTTAGTTTTCTTAAATCTTCATCGTATGATTCTATTGAAAAAAAATGAAGTTTATAAATTTGGTAGATTCAAAATGAGATTTATGTGGTCCATCATTGCTGAATAATTCACTTGAAATTTGATTTCTTACTCAACGGATAATTTGAAACGAAATAAATTTCAGTATCCATTTTCATTGAAAATATGCCATAGAAATAAGTCGGTCACATAATCAACATTTGTATAGGATGCCAACAGTAACATGAAAATATAATCAGTTGAATCATCTTATTTGGATTCTCAAGAAAAGACGAAAAGAACTGAAAAACGTATAGTACTTAAAGAATGAAAGTACGGTGGATAAAGAGATCTAGAATTAAGCGATTCACCATATCCGATAATAATCAGAGCTAAACACTATAGCAGTATGAGAAGAATTCACATATTTTTCTTTGACATTCGTCGTCTAACTACATCAGAAATCATTTTATACAGGTATCCAATTTTGTTCAATTTTAAGTTTTATTATGCATCTGTAATCCATTTACCGATCTACATAAACTGCTTGAGCGTCGGTGGCATAGCGGTTAGGACGCTAGTCGACCATGCACATGGTCTGGGGTTCGATCCCCGACCAACGCACTCCTTTACCTCTCTGGTAAAGAGGTAAGGTTGGGTATGAGGCTGGCAACCCCATCCTGTAAAAAATAAGCACTACTACAGAAACTTCAAGCCAATAGCTTGAAGTCCTATGTTCCACTGGGGAACGTGAAGGAAAATAAAAAAACATAGACTGCTCAAAAGTCTTAGTAAATTATCATGTGTGTAATCCATGCAATAGCATGATGTATAATGTTTAAAAAATCGAATTAATCTTAATGCTAACTTCTTGTTTCAATATAATTTGTATAGTATAATATCTTCTCCAAAGCTTATAAGTTTATTCGAGAAGAGTAAGCGAATCCAGTGGATGGTTTAGTTAGCTGTTTCACAACACATAGGTTGCTTATAATATTTGAAGAAACAAATATTCTACCAAGCCTTGCTTAGTTTTATGAGTCATTTTCAAATATATGAACTTGCAGTTACTTTTAATTTCTACTCAGAAGTGAAAGAGTTCAATAATAATTCATTCAAGCTGGAAGTGAAGTGGGAACAATATCACTAGATACACTGAAATCAACTCCTTTCATGCAACAATATAAAATGTTAAGTTTACCAGTACATCAAGTGTTTATTTCACCCAATCGCTCTTCACGGTTCGCTTAGGTGGATTTCTACTTGAGTCCTTCACGCTTTGACAACAGTTTATGTGCGTCGGTTAGGACTCTTGCCGATCATACACATGGTCCGGGATTCGATGACCTGCCGACGCACACCTGATATCAATGGTCGGCCTGCAAAATTTGGGCTACCGATATCCATGCTGAAAATTCCATACTTGTAGCAAAACTACAGTGTGGAATCAAGCTGTAATCAAAAATAAATTAGATAGACTGCAGAGCAGATAAATGTGTATTGCTGACTAATTATGTTAAGTTTCTTACCATTGTTCCAGTGTCCTAAACACGCAATCCAACCAGTTTAATTTATTCACATTGTGTTGCTTGATATGCCTTATCCAGTCTATCAATATGTATTATGTAAGTTTGCATTCTTTCATTGCGTAACGCTGAATAAAATTATGTACTTGGAGTAAAAATACTGGTGAACTAAACACATCCATCTTTGACAATCACCAGTGCATGTATGTATCAGGAAATCAGTGTTTCCAGTATACGTAATTGAGATCATTTTATACAATTATCATCTCTGTTTTCATTGCTTTTTAGGATAAGGAAATATCAATTAAAAGTGTTACATCAGTTAAACAAAATGAAATTGATCATCTACAACAAGTGAACAATGAATTAAAATTAAAGTTGACCAGACAGTATAAGGAGTATGAAAATGAAGTAAGTTGGCATAGCTAAAGGTTCAGTAATTACTGTCTGGATGGCTAGACATATAAAGCAATAAAAGAAGGCAGACTTACTCGACCGAAGAGTAAACTTCATGAAATTTTAATGAGAATTTCTGATTTTCACTCTAAAAAAGAAATACTGGTATTTGAATATGACTTAAGAGATTAAATTAGCCAAACTGAGCAGAATCATGAATCGTTAGATCCTATGGGCATTAATTACTAAATATAAGCGGAATATCTGGAAGACAGTTGTATACATCTCAGATGGATAGTCTCATATCTTATCCCAGTGGACTCAGGTGTCTTTTAGCAAAATATTTGACATACATATTTAGTTTAGGATTATTATCAGACATAAAAGTGATTATCATTTCACTTACGAAAACGTCTCGATAAAGTAACTTAAAGTTCATTTTAGATGTGTGTGTTAGTTATTAGTTTAAGTGAGAATACGGGTAGTGTTAGAGGAAGATATGATATGATAAGAAAGCATTCAGCGACGAATGAATTCTAAATATTTTATGTAAATGATATATGTTTTTATTTACTGTTATTAATACATCAACTAATTCTCACCTTAAACGAAGTAAAACTATAAGTCTTTCAAATAATAAAGCACGCAATGAAACAGCCAGAAGATGAACTATTCTTGTGCATGTAGAATAGTTCATGACTCAGAAAATTAGTCGCATTTTACATACTGAGTGACTATTCCCTACTTCATTATGGACACAATGTTAACTTTTGTACGGAAACTTAAGTGACCTACAAAGTGCTTTCATATTACCAATACGCCAACTAAGTAGAAATTTCAAAGAAATCATCATGGATGCTCCCCTCAACAGGACTTTCATTTTCGTTCCAAAATCTAATAAAAGTTTTATTGGTAATGGAATATAGGCAATGAGGTCTTTAAAAACGATTAACACGATATTATATTTTGCCTTCTGTTCATTAATTTGTTTTGATTTGATACACACTCATAGGAGTTCTAGCCAAAATGGTTGTTGATGCGGCCTTTTGAAATTTTTTAATATTTGTTTCTAGCTTCATCTGTAAAGTAACGAAATCTTCTGCCTGTTGACGGAGTTTCTCTAACCCTGCAGGTTGACCGTTAAAACATTGGCAATATGGGAGTATTCATAAAATTGTCAGTTTTACCTCAGTCTTGTACGATGCGAGCTTAGGTCAGGAAAGAATAAGATAAAAGCGTACTAGGCGTTTGAATGTTTATTAACAATAGCAGTTGACCCGACTAATGATGGATGTTTAAGAAGTAGGGTAATACGAAATTTGAAACAGAAGTGAAGAGTCTGGTGTTTCTACATAGTTTTATGACCTTTTCTGTTGTTTACTACTACAGCGCTTTGGCATAAAGGCTGATTCCATGGATTAAAGTGGTGATTGGCGTTACACTAGGAGGTCTCGGTGCTTAGCTAAATTGCTAAGATTTCAATGAGCAATGAATGCATCATTATTTACATCTTCACCATAGTATAGTCTGATAATAGTTGTTGCTTAGGGACATCTAAAGAGATACGAAGATCTACCAAGAAATGTATACTTACATTAACAATATATACATTAGGAATACAACTACCAGGAGCCAAGAGGGACATAACTTTGACCAGTTACTTCAAATAACTGTCATCTTTTGCATACTGTCCTGTGATTTCACTATTTTGTATTGTTTAATTAAAGGAACCTACAAAGTGACCTTTGCTGACCTATGTTTTCTTTGAAAAGACGGGGAAATATTAACATAACGAAATAGCTTTCCGAGTTAGAGCAGTTAGCGATGTATTTACCTTTCCTTGGGAACGTTCAGATACTGTAGTTTATAGTGATGAGTTCTGAAGAAGATAAGTGGCATATATATATATGCACTGATATGATCATGAGTAATACATTTAGAAGAAACATGATTTGCATTTTAATAATTTATCATCACTCTGTCCATAATCAAGCAATTACATTGCATCTAAATAAGTAATGCCACTAAAAACAATCCTTTCTCCCAGTTGGGATTTCACTATGCATCCGTCACCTAACATGAATGATATGTTTCTTAAATCACCTTTCATCAAATCAATCCCATTCAAGCTTAGTATGACAGCCTGTGAATATCCCTACAACTAGACAGTTAAATTTTTCGGACTGATAGGGGAAAACATGTAGAAAGGCTATCAGGATACGTTCGAAAAGACGTGTCCACATTTTACATCACTAATAGTACTGCTATGTATTCGAATGAATTAGTAGCTTATCTTGACCCGTCATGTTCAAATATACTTTCTTTATACTTCCTCTCTATGTTTCCATAGAAATGGAAGGCTTACGTATAACACATTTTACTAATCCATTCGGAACACGTAAATTATTAACGAACGAGAATTTTTACACGTGTAGTTTAGTATCTTAACACCATAGCTTAGGCAGTCAGCCAAATCATGCAAATTAATTCCATTGCAAATGCCCATTTTAAATTACGCTTCATGTGGCCATACGAAATTACCTTTACAATTCTCGGCTTTCTTGTGTGATTCTGAGGTTAGGTTTCAGTTAGTTAGTGCTAAGTGAGGAAACTGCTTCTACATTTATTTCGAAAACAGAACACTTATCAATTTTAATAATATGTTTGAGGAAATAAGAAAAAAAACATTTGTGCGAAAAGACATGGATCCATTCTATTTCGTTGGTGAAGCGTTAAGTGGGCATCTATTAAACAACGACTAGCCACACATACTCTGAAAGACTCTTTCCAATTCGTCGAAGAAGTGAGCAAAATTAAAGTATGTGATAAACTCACGGTGTCCTTCAATGTGACTTCTCTGTTCACACAGGTCGTGGGATGTTGGACATAATTTGTTAACATGCTGACTTGCTTCATCTGCCAAAACTGGAATTCAGGCAGCTTCTCATGTTTTGTACCATTGGATCCATTGGATCTTGTATTAGCTGATATTTCTACGGCCAATCAGGAACAGACTGAACTGAAGTGTGCAACTGATGAAATAACAGCCTACTACAGATACGTAGATGACACATTCATCGTATACAATCATTTGAGTCAATCTTCTTCCTTATTGGGCCTATTCAACAATGTACATAAGAGTATCCCTTTCACGATGGAACACGAAGATGCTGATAATTTCCACTTCCTAGATATAAGCTTGGACAGAAAATCGTATGGGACACCCGTGAGATCGATACATCGTAAAGACATATGAAGCAGTCTCTACTTAAACTTAAACAGCTTCTGCCTAGTCAGTTACAAACGAACGCTGGTGAAAACGCTTTTCTCCAGAGCAAATAGAATACGTTCACCTGATAAATCAGACAGTAAACTAATGCTGCTTGAAAACTATTTGAATGAAAATGGTTATCCACAAAGTTTCATTGATAAATATGGTAAGGATGAACGTAAGAAACCTGATGAACCTAGGGTCAGCAATAAACCAGTTTTCATTAAACTCGACTTCAAAGGCTATCATAATATGAGAATCATAAATAAAAGATTAAGCGCAGCCCTATTCAGGATGTTTCTTGCAGCAAAAATAGTCTGTCTACTCCAAACATATTCCTGGTTGGTGCAGTCAAATATCGACAAGTACCCCTCATATGTTACCTCCAACTGTACATACCGATTCACATGTATCTGTGGGAGTAGTCAAACTGAAAGAACAGAAGGAATGGACTACGTCAGGTACTTTGAACATGTACAAGGAGCATCTCGTTAAAGGGGCCAAATAGTTTAAACTCTTTAATTACCAAACACCTGATAGATACTAGACACCGAATAGAAGCGCTGGCATCATTCAAAACACTTAACAGACAAAACAGTTCACGTCTTCTTAGGTTTGCTGACACTGTCGCAATAAACGGCTGAAACCTGAACTATGTGTCCAAAATGAAACTGTTGGATTCCATTTACCCTGGTGACTCACCCCTTAATAACCCTTGGTCTTCTAAATTCATTAACTTATCTTCTCAAACACCCCCGCAATCACCTCGGTTCTTCCATTTGATTCACATAAGAGATAATTTTTTGACCTATAAGTTCTACTCACCACGTTCCATCATCACCTTTACATCTAACCTCCTGCACACCAAATTTTCATCTTCTCTTATCTAAGTAATTATTACTAATTATTTGTTACTACCCTAATAACAAACTCGTCAATTAATTTTCTAGAAACTTCTCTCTAACATGATATATATATATATATATATATATATATATATCAGCTCCTTGTGTCCTGATGTTTACCTCACCATAACTTTCTTTTAAGATGCATGTTGATGACAAGAGTAAGCTAAATTTTAAACTGACTCTTATTTACTAAAGATTATAGGTTGAATGCAGTTATTGAGGACCCACGAAATAGAATGTATCTATGTTATTCTGCACCAGTATTGGTTCTTTCTTCACTGAAATTTATAAAATGAAATTCTTGTATGATATCAATACTGTGTGATAATAAATCCAAACATCGTCATACTAATGAGAATAATAGACACCTACGGAGAAACAACAATAAGCACATAGTTCAGCGTGAATGCTGTTAGTGTTTGTAACACATCTCATAGTCAAACAAACTGTAGTTACTAGTCGGACAAATAACTCCAATGATATCACAATTTAAGACTCCATCATCACTAGAAGCTCTAAACAGCCCGCTGGTTGTTGCTCTTATCTCTATTATTACTGAGTGGTGTTAGATTCCGAGTCAAGCATTATTATCTTCATTCATGATGTGACCCCATTTATTACTCGGAAAGGGTATCGTATTACTTGTCCCATTCATTTCACACCAGGAGGTAATGGAATCGCTTTTCAAAGTAGATTTTATCACGAATTGGCATTGGTTAAGAGAAAAACAATTATGCATGGACCTCTCATCTTTGTCTGTGGAGTTCACCAGATGAAATGTCCTGATTCAATAACCGAGTGTTCCTCAGTTCTAGTCCTCAACAGTCAATGAAATAGTAATACAGTTTATTGAATTCGGTAGCAAAGAACAACGTGTAATCACCAGAACTGAAGCGTTGTGGTGCCAGTCATCGAGGAAAGAATAGAGAATAAGAGAATGGAAGCGAACATAATTGCTCACCTTTCAAAGTGACACATGAGTTATTCAAACACTCATTCACAGATGGGAAAAAGGAAAGTGAACTAAGGAAATGCCTATGTCAGAGTTCACATGAGATTGTTGTGATTGGGAAACAGAAGGAAAGTTCCTTGATGATACCTTCTTGTGTTGACATTGGGCGAAAATGTGGTCATTGTTGACTACTTGCATGTGCTGCCTCAAACTTGTGTTCTCTCACTAACAGTAAATCATATGCTTACACTTTTTCGCTTAGCGGTGTTCTCAGTTAATGTGATGCTTTATTCTCTAGAGTTCGTTATTTTCTCATGCTAGAAGCAATTTTTGCAACAAACTGGAGGGCATTTTGATAAACGTAAGAAAAATGTGCAACATTTCATGCGATTATGAAGCTTTACAACAGTTTCATAACTTTCCCATCGCTTAAAGTGTATGTTCATTCAAAGAATCATTATCGTTATCCATGTAAAAATGGAATTTGTTTTTTCAATGCTATTATTACCATAGGTTACAAAGATTAAACGTCAGGCGGAAGAAGCACTTAATAAAGAAAAAGTAAGTCTGAAGAGTTTCAAACGGCTTACAAGAAAATGAGCAAAAGTTGATCAATGAAGTGGCACTCAGGGAAAGTCTAGAAAATCAGCTTGTAAAGTCATCGGCTGAAATCGAACAATTAAAAAATAATTACGAAGTTCTGTCAAAACAAGCTAAGGTATGGTATTTGTTTTGCTTTTGTTATCTCACTCTGTACATGAATTACGCATAAACTAATGCTTATATCCATTAATTACAAAAAGTTAAATCACCAGTGTATGCACTGATTGTGCCTAGACGACCTTTGAAATAATGTCACCAAACGTTTTTGAGTGCATGTTTTTGAAACCTGGTCTGATTTTATTGTTGCAAATACAAGTAAATAAAAAGTCACTCAGGTAAATAATCAGTGAATATTGAAAAGCAGTATTCCGGTTTCACCTGAGATTAAGCGAATCAGGTGAAAATGTTTAAAATCCTTTTGGAAATTTGCACGTTTTGGAATAGATTGGAAACTTTGAACTGCTAGTAAGTCTCATTAAAAAGCTGAAGTGACAAAAATCCATCGAAAAGTGACAACTACATATGAAGGGTTTTTAACTTTGGCCATAAACCAAGTAAAATTGCAAGCTAATAGCATGTTTAAATGAATGAAAGGACACAATGACATACTGTTTGGGGATGGGTACAGCAAAGACCGGTGGTATCCATCGGGTCCTAAAAGCTTTTGTTTCACAATGTCTTCTGAATATTAACTATTCGCTTTCACTTGTTTTGGAATAAATTCTATGGGTAGGAATGAACTGAAACCATTATCCTAGAATTATGGAGTGTAGGCAGGATATTTTATATTCTACTTGCTAAAATGGGTATTTGCAAACCACTTTCTAGTTCAACTAGTTCTAAATTCAAAGTAGTCATGCTCACGAGGAGTACGAATTGGTGATTTAAAGAGCGATACCATCTGGACTTGCACGATATCTGGACCAATTCATCTCAGAAGCAGGTTGTTTCTCTGGAAGTTAATTTTTCTTTAATTATTAACAGAAGCCATGCCAATCGAGAAGAAAGTTTCTGGATATAAGATTCATTGAGAACACCATTTTTGACTCGGATACGTGCAATTCCTGCTGATGGGTTCCAAATGGAATGAAACGCGCCTTTCAGATTTCACTGATTGCTACCACACATCAGACAACATGATGTTTCTAAGTAGTACGAATTGTTATGAGTTTCTTACTTTCTGCAGAAAATCTAAACCGTAAGAAAAGCCAGAATGGATTGTTATTTTAGTCTCAATTTCAGCGTTGAATGTCCAACAGTGAAATAGTTTTCTCTTGTGGAGAATGTGTCATAAATTTTTCAGCCTTCAGATACTTAAAACTTAAAACAAAAGATTTCAGCAAGCTAAAACTCTCTATGTGACGGTTTCACTCCCAAAACTGTATATTTATATGTTAGGATAAATACAGTAGTAGTGTTAATAATCCAGTGACCCATAGTTTAAATTCTAACTTGACTCAGGTAAAATATGCATATGAATTAGTGTAAAGCGTAATTAAAATAAAGGCCGATTGTTCTGTAAACCATATGTTTATTTTGATATATTAGAAAGAAGTGGACTTAGCAAAATTATACCCTGAGTAAAGTTCATAATGTGCATTGTTAAAGCTTTTGTAACACCATACAAACGTTGTCATACACCTACTGGCAAGTCTGTCCTGAATTTGTTAATATATTTTTGAGATAAGCTAGAAGTCACGTGATTATAATGTATTATATTTTACAAAAATTTCGAAATCAGTAATCTACACATGCTTGGTCATACAGTCAAGTTAGCAGGTATTTTTAAACGTAAGGAGCAGCGTCTCTTAACTAATGCCCTATATACCTAGTCACACAACAGCGGACCAAAATATAAACAGGGAAAAAAGCCCATATGATATAAATCGAAAAGGCAGATCAGCAAAGAATATTCTTTTTTCATCTTTACTTCAAAGCTGTGCAGACATAAAAAGTGTTGTAAAACGTTAGGGAATTGTCTAGATCAGTTGGTAACTAAATATAAGCGTCTGAATATCAAGGAGAATAGTATATTACGTAGTCTAAAAACAGTATGTGGTGAGCATCGCTCAGAAATGATTATCATTGAAAACTAAAAGCTCTTGGAACTAGGAAAACTGTTCAAGAAAGTAAGAGATTCAGAAAAGTCATAAAGCATATTCTGAAGTGAGAAGTTTCAAAGGAAAGAATAAGAAGAAAACAAAAGCCGATTAAATATTGTACAAGTTAAAGAAAGAAAGGAAAGTTTAGCGATTCGGTAAACCTTTTCTGTATACATAGTTCAGGGTTTTCCTTGTGCACAGCAAGCGTTCGTACTATGAACTTTGAAAGATTTTTGTACTGATGAGTAATGATTCGAAAGAGCAAAGCGCTCAAGAAATAAACAATTGATCGGCCTAATTTCTCCGTTCAAAGAAAATATATTGGGAAGTATTCTTTCGCGCTTCTAGACAGTATCCTACTGGTATGGCCTATGTAATTAAATGAATATCGAAAAGGATAGTCAGAATGACAGTCTCTTAACAACAGGAGGCTTCAGTGAAAATCCACTATAGGTTTTTTGTTAGAACAGCAGCATTTAGCTTTATTTTTATCGATCTTATGAAAATGATCTAAGTAATTTATTAGGAATATCCCACTTTAATTAAAAATTTGTGTAACTTTTTATTTTACAAACCCTTGGGCAGGTATAAGTTTAGTCTCCCTTGCTTGTCGTTACTCTAAAGAAACAGTGGACGATAACCTTTCTTTATAAGTTTTCGTCTTGGATATTCTAGTCCCACAACGTCATTGTCCTCACCATAGAGAAAATCAAATCATTTTATTATCTATCCTAGTAGATTTATAGGGAGACACAAGAACACCAAGTACAATAAAGAGAAAATAAAAACAGTGGAAAACAAAAAACTGTTTATGAAATCGCAATTTAATGGGAACGTGGCTAGCAAAGTCTTACATCCGAGACTTTCGAGAGCGATAAAACGGACTTATACTGCTGCCATCCTTTGTTTGTTATTTTCGAGCCGGCCAATTATAACTGCTCAAGTGAAAGACAAGCTACCTAGCTGGGCCACTTCTATGTGTATCTTTAAATTTAGTTGCTCATGTGGGGAGAGCTATATAGGACGAACACCTAGACAGCTTAATAAACGCATTAATGGGCATCTTCCTTCATGGTTCGGAAAAGGTCAAATAAAATCCATAAGAAGTTCTATTTTGGCTCATTTGATTGATAGCGGTCACCAAGTGGACAAAAATAGTGCCTCCAAAGTTATCTATCGCATTTCGCCGAGCCTTTCGAACGGAATTCGAATTCGTCTTTTACACATAGCCGAAGCTTTGGGAATTCGAGAGAACAATTCTAGTCTTTGGATACAAAATAAGTTTGTTCTACCTTTGTCTCTCCCTTGGCCTAGGTGAATTCTATTGAAAACCCTCCCACCCTTTCTTATTATCCATCTCTTTCGTAATTTTATGATATTTATTTAAACTATGGTTATATGTCCACTTCACCTTTAGGTTTACGTAACTTTTAAGATCTAACCTAATTTATTTATTGAACTGTCCATAAATACACATATTACCTTTTATTCTTATCGCCACCTGCATAAACCTTATTATCAATATTTTGTTATAATCATCGTTATTAACTACGTTCAAAACATTTACCACATTATTATTATTTGATCCACAAAATCACCGTTATTGGTTAAAAACTTTTATATATAATCTATGTAAATTAGAGTAAAGCCTGAAGAAGATCTAACTGAAAACAATATTGTTCGCTTATATGTCTTGTTCTACTATCTATAGATCAAAATTTTTGAATTAGTTAGTTGCTTAGTTCATGCGCGTCGGTGGCATAGCGGTTAGGACGCTCGCCGACCATGCACATGTCCGGGGTTCAAACCTCGGCCGACGCACTCCTTTATCTCGCTAAACCAAAAATAAAGCTGGTAAAGAAAAGGTTGGGTATGAGGCTAGCAACCCCATCCTGTAAAATAAATACTGCTACAGAAACTTCAAGCCTCCAGCTTGAAGCCCTATGTTCCACTGGGAACGTGAAGGAAAAATTATTATTTATTTATTATTAGTTCATGCAGACTTCTACCTGTTAGATCTCTGGATTTAGTATTCCTTTAGAAGCATATGTAGTATTTTATGCAGATAAATTTGTTAGTTTTCACTAACTCCACGGGAGCATATTTTGCTCTAATTTCTTTAAGTTGACCGAAATGTTCTTTCCTTAGTTGGTATAACTGTTTGAAACGAATAACATCCCATTGTGATTGATCTGAGTAAGTATTACCCAGAAAGTAGGGAAAAATACCCCTGCTCGCACATAAAAAATTGTGTCCTGGTATCATAATTATAGGAGATAAAGCTTATCAGCTCATTTGAGTTTCAACCACTGGGTGCCAGGTTCGAATTCTGTTTCACCTGCTTCATCTTCTGTCTGTTTTGGGTAAATATCAGAAAAGTGAATAATATAATGAAGTACTTTCCAGTAAGGATTGCATTTTTTAAATAAGAAACTCTTCACTATAATAACTTAGGGTCATACTTTTTATCTTATTAGTTGTTATTTTAGTAAGTTGAAGAGAAGTATTTGAATAAGTGACTTTTCAAAAGTCATCTTGCTATTTGAATAATAGGCAATATTGAGGTTAGTGATAATAAATCCTAATCAGAAAACAATTCAAATATCCCTTCTAAATCCAGCTAATATCTGAACACGCGAACTGTCAGAAGAAAATGACTATTTGAGAGAGAGAGAGAAAATTCTTTGACAAATGAACCGCGCATAATTTATTATTCTTGTTCAAGATAACTAAATCAAGATAAAGTGAATTAATAAAGGATCGGAGAGGAAGAGGAAGAAGATAAAATGAAGACGGAACGTAAATAGATTGTATCAGCTTTATGTTGACTAATAGTTACAGTGATATACATTTAAAACCTTTTTATACCTTGTTCAAATATTCCATTTTGGTTAATATTATTAAAAAAAGCAGAGTGTGAGAATAATTCTGAGAAACAGGTGCAATATCCACTTGTATAACCTCAGTTACTAAATTCATTATTATCTGCTAACCTTAAGTTATTTGTTCCTTAACTAGTTTACTGTGGGAAATCAGCAAAACACATATGATAAGGAAGAAATAAAGTTGACACAAACTCTGGTCGATAACAATTATCCAAACAAGTTCATTAGGAGATATAATGCAGTCCGAACACCAAAACCCACTCTCTAACTCACCGCTAAGAAAGACGTATTCATCAAGTTACCCTTTATGAGTGATCATAGAAGCTTGGTAACTCGATAGAGACTGAACGCATCAGTTAAAAAGATTTAACGCAGCTAAGATCATAATAATTGATAATGTGAAGCCAATAAATTCATCAAAGTCCTTTGAACATGCGCATGATATCAAATCCCACTGTATTCACCAGTTTAAATGTACGTGTGGCCACACATACATAGAGAGGACTCATTGATCTCTACAAGTAAGGGCTTCAGAGCACATTCCTAATTGGCTTCGAAAGCAGATAGAATCCCCAGAACCCATTAGTGGTGAGAACAGACGACCTAGCTCCTCTATTGCAAAACAAATTATAGAGACAGGACATAAAATTGATGTTTACAAGTCTTTTACCTTATCTATAAAACAAGTTTGGGGCGTGTTCTAAGATTTGTGGAAGCCCTAGCAACTAGAAAATTTAAACCACCGTTTCACCTTCAAAAACAATTTGTCATCACAATAAGCCTTCCTTAGTAAACTCTGTTCTGATACCAGTATGGATGTACTATTACCTGTATTATTTGGTTTTGCTATCTTCATTGCTGTTTTGACCTTCAATGTGTCCTTTTAATTTGACCTAAATTTACTTTCCCATCTCTTAACTCTTTATTAGTTTCATAAATGCTTCTATGACAAGTCTGTATGTGATAAGATTGTTCGAAATGTGTTGCGCAGATACACAATACACGATTCAGACAAATTACACCTTCTTATTGCTCTGTCTAAATTCATAAAGGGAACTAACTGTTTAAATTTTATAAGTAGCAAATCAACCCAACGCAATCGATTTCATCTTGATGTCATTTTATATACTTGATACATGCAGTTATTACAATCATACTACAAAATTTGTCGTGATCAGAATAGCCTTATATCAGAGTTACTGACTTCAACACATATCGTGATGGTAAATGGAAGAGCATGAAATCAGTTGATGATGAAGATTCATCTAGTTGATCCGTACAAACATGTATGAAACTAAGGTTTAAGGCTTCCAGTTGATCAACTTTAAACTCTAAGTAACTAGGTAGATTTAGGTTTATTCTGGCTACAAGACTTCTGTAACGAACTCAAATTTCCATTAGACCTGTATGATACTAAATACACCATTTCACACCAAACTTTCTGTCCTTGATAGTCATTGCTTGAATTTACTGTTATTTCTTTTAAAAGTGAGTAGTGATTTATTAAAATAAAGATTTTAAGAAGTGTCAGGCATAAAAAGGAGCGATGAAAATACAGAAACAGTATGACCTTTAGTGAAAAATTAGGTGTGTTGTCCTCAGGATTTTATGCTGGAGAGAAGTCTATCCCTGAAATCCACTTAGACTTGCTATTAGGGTGTTGTTCAGCCAGTTTATCGATTGGCTTTACTAACTTATTTACCGAGCGTTATAGTCAAAAGCTGCAGACAAGAAAGTCTATTTTATTTCGATTGTTGAGTAGCTGTCAGTATCTGATCCATATGTTAACCTGTCTTGTGACTAGGTCTTAGGTGATCACGTTACACTCAGTAGTTTCTAACCTAAACTGCACTAAAGCTTGAAGGAATTGTGCCATATATGATGCCCCAGGTATCGAAGATAAGATTTTTTCAAAATTAGCAACCGAACAACTTCAAAAGTGGAATGTGTTTCAGGCAACTGATCAGAAATGACAATCTTAAAAGTGCATTGAGATTATTTCTAGTTTCCGAAATTCTTCAGCTGTTTTTTGAAAATATTCATAGGCGTGACTGATATATCTGTGAGGTAAAAATTGTTTCTTATCAATAGTTCTGGCTTATCACCTAGGTAATATTACAAAACGTCATCAGTAACTAGGAAATGCCCTTTTATCCTTCTTAAAATAACTATTTTACTACAGTTAGTAATTATTTGAAGGAACAGTTAGTTTTTAAAATTAAACTGGTAGAAATTATATAATGGGCAAGTTAATTGACACGAGAATGACGCTGTAAACTGACTTAAATCTGTGGTGCAGTTATTGGCTTAACTGAAATACTGCTGTACGCCATACTTGATAGTATTTAGAGATAAGAAACAATGGGTCAATGTTACGTAACTGTAAATTCTGAATGGCTGATTGATATAGTTTGGTTAATACTGACAGCTACATTAACAAACTGTTTATTCTTTGACCAAATGAGCTATAACGATAAATCATGTCATTACTCAGTTCCTGAATTAATAGACGAGATTTAAATTCAACAACTATGTCGTGTTTACTTTTCAGAAGTTAAAAGTATTATTTCGAGGTCAAAACAAAGCCTCAGCATTGATAGCTGGACAACTAGGACCCAAGGGTGAGAAATATCATCTAGATATCTTTATTCATCCTAAACTCCCCACTCAACACTCAATGAAGTTTCTTTTAGTTGTTCAGGCCTATAACAGTTTTTGTCTATGAAACTAAATATCAGATCTAGCCATTATCAACAATTTGATATTTTCCTCACTCGCTTTTCATATCAGTGAAAACCCTTTCAATTTTAGCGCTCCTGTTTAACTTATCATTACAGATTCTAAAATAAATCAACTCAAAGTAGAAGAAAAATTATAATGATAACTATACGTGACCAAGATAGTGGATGTGAAAATCGTATGTAACATTAGAATTATTCACCTGCCGAAACTTTTTTTTCTTTTTTCTGTTATCTTTTTTTCTAAGTTACTTCCACTTAACCTTAAAAATCTGTTCTCTGCTTTACCTTTACTAATCGATAATACTTCATTGAAGAAAAATAAAAGTCTACATAAAGAAAATTCCTATTTCTTATGTATTCATTCACCTGAGAATTTACTTTATACTGTAATATTTTTGTTTTGATTGTTTATCTTATTTTCTTCTTTTTTGCTTGAAATATTCAGTTAGAAAAAAGTTCACGTTTCACTGATCTAGTTGCTGAACTCGATCGTAAATGGTCTGAAACTGTTGGTCGTGAATGTGCACGTGTACGTGGTGAAACATGTATGAAACTGGAGTTGGACTACAAGGTGAAATTAGAAGAGATCAGGAGAAGATATGATCAGTCACTTTTGATAACAATAATCAATGGGAAATAAAGTTTCAGAAAAAACAGCTTGAGTTGGACGAGCTGATTCAGAATAAAAATGACAACAATCAGGAAATATCAAGGTTTGTTTTTACCTGACATTGAAAGTTTGATTTACTCATAACCATATTTTTCCCTGTAAATATCGAAGTTAAAAGCCTCAGTAATTATGACTGTATATAAACAGTTGTTAAAATGTTTCCCTAAAGTGATTCTGAAGATTTCATTTAATGATATCCAAAACAGTGGGGTTTAGCTCAGGCAAGTAGTCTTTAACAAGCAAATAACTAATAGATTAACTGAGGATTCTTTTATCCTGTTTCATAATTTCTTCACTGAATAAATTGTTGCAAATTTTTCTTACGTTTATCAAAATGCCCTCCAGTTTGTTGCAAAAATTGCTTCTAGCATGAGAAAATAACGAACTCTAGAGAATAAAGCATCACATTAACTGAGAACACCGCTAAGCGAAAAAGTGTAAGCATATGATTTACTGTTAGTGAGAGAACACAAGTTTGAGGCAGCACATACAAGTAGTCAACAATGACCACATTTTCGCCCAATGTCAACACAAGAAGGTATCATCAAGGAACTTTCCTTCTGTTTCCCAATCACAACAATCTCATGTGAACTCTGACATAGGCATTTCCTTATTTCACTTTCCTTTTTCCCATCTGTGAATGAGTGTTTGAATAACTCATGTGTCACTTTGAAAGGTGAGCAATTATGTTCGCTTCCATTCTCTTATTCTCTATTCTTTCCTCGATGACTGGCACCACAACGCTTTCAGTTCTGGTGATTACACGTTGTTCTTTGCTACCGAATTCAATAAACTGTATTACTATTTCATTGACTGTTGAGGACTAGAACTGAGGAACACTCGGTTATTGAATCAGGACATTTCATCTGGTGAACTCCACAGACAAAGATGAGAGGTCCATGCATAACTGTTTTTCTCTTAACCAATGCCAATTCGTGATAAAATCTACTTTGAAAAGCGATTCCATTACCTCCTGGTGTGAAATGAATGGGACAAGTAATACGATACCCTTTCCGAGTAATAAATGGGGTCACATCATGAATGAAGATAATAATGCTTGACTCGGAATCTAACACCACTCAGTAATAATAGAGATAAGAGCAACAACCAGCGGCTGTTTAGAGCTTCTAAGTGATGATGGAGTCTTAAATTGTGATATCATTTGGAGTTATTTGTCCGACTAGTAACTACAGTTTGTTTGACTATGAGATGTGTTACAAACACTAACAGCATTCACGCTGAACCTATGTGCTTATTGTTGTTTCTCCGTAGGTGTCTATTATTCTCATTAGTATGACGATATTTTATTTTTTAGCGTTATTATCACATGATATTAATATTAATAGGTGTTGCGTTTTTATGCTGAGTGGGGAAATGTTTTGCTCACTTAGTACTAATTAGCTCGAACCCGTCTTCAGAATCACACAAGAAAGTCAAGAATTGTAATGGTAATTTCGTATTGCCACTTGAAGCATATTTCAAAATGAGCTTATAAAGATTCAGAATGGAATTAATTTTCGTGATTGGACTGACTGTGTAAGGCGTGCTGTTAAACCACTGAAATATGCATGTCGAAATTATAGCTTTTTCATAATTTGCGTGTTCGGAATAGATTAATATGATGCCTTATACATAAGCCTTCTATCTCGATACAAAAATAAAAAAAGTGTAAAGAAGGTTTTGTTGGATGTGACGGGTCAAAACAAGGTATAAATTCATTCGAATATAAAGCAGTATTATTGGTGAAGTAAAATGTTTACACGTCTTTTCGAATGTATTCTGATAGCCTTTCTGCATGTCTTCGACTCTCAGTTCGAAAATTTGATAAGCTTGAATGCGATTGATTTTATGAAAGATGATTTACGAAACACAAATCATTTATTCAAGTGTTGGTTTGTAGGGATTTGATTGGTTTCAAGATTTCATTGTGATCTGACATTAGTTAGAGAACCATTGGAAAACCTGGGAGTACTGGAGAGCTGTTTCGTCCTAGTTTGGGACTCTTCAGCAGTACGCACCCACCGGGATTCGAACCCAGGACCTTCCGTACTGATGAAGAGTCGCAAACTAGGACGAAACAGCTGTCCAGTACTCCCAGGTTTTTCAATGGTTCTCTAACTAATGTCAGCTCATAATGAAATCCTGAAACAAATCATTTATGTTAGTTGGACAGTGCTTAGTGAATTCCTAACAGAGATAAATGTTTATTTGTAGTGATATTACTTATTCAGGTGCAGTATATTTGCATGGTAATGAACAGCGTATTACCTTATCATTAAATAAATCAAAATGTGTGAAAATTATAAGAAAAATGAGGAAGCAATAAATATGACTGAAATAACGAGGATGATATGAAATTCGAAACATTTCTTATACTGCCATATAAAGAAGGAACATCAGAGACCTTAGGTAGTATTCTCAGTGACGCTGGAATTGGAGTGACATTTAAACCAATCAACTTACTGAGAGATAAACTTTGTCGGCCCATGGACCGATAATTTACCAGATACCACGTAGTGCCTGTGAATGGAGTCAAACTGGTTGGTCGGGTTCAGCTAGATTTTCGGAGCATTACAATTTAGGTAAACCTAGAATAATTTACCCTGCTGAGTGAAATAACCTGAAAATAGCTCAGGAATTGCACTACATTCACTTGCATGTAATCACACAGTGACAGGTTGGGGCAGTGTGAGAGCATTAAAAAGTAGTTAGATGGAGAGAGAGAGGTTAATCACTGAAGCTTTGCTTATCGATTCAACACCGCACACGTGCAATCTGAATGATGCAAAGCCTATGCTGGAGATATGGAAAGTGGCATCAAAAACAAACGGAAGTTGGATAGATAAAAGAGAGAAAATATACGTAAGACAAACTGTGAAACCGTGTGACTAAGAGTGATATGATTTTGAAGAGCAATAAGTTATGCTCGAAACGTCATACAGTTGTCAATACTGCATCACTGTGTGATGTTAAAATAAACTTATCTCAAATGGAATTACATCCTACCACAGTGCTTTTTTCCACACTATGAGTAAATAAATCGTGTTTCTAGAAGCGTTTACAGCACGTAATCATAACAGTGTATATACATGTGACTTATCATGAATGATTTCTCAACTACTGACACTGGCATTTGATGCCTCAAATTACACTGATTCATACAGCGAAATCAGTGAATTATACTTTAGCAAGAGGGTAGGAAGAATTATTTTGAGTCACGCGGCTTCTGAATAAATTTCTTATTTTTCTAAAAGTAAAATATTTGCGTAGATTTCCCTGCATTTAAACAATAAACTGATAAACATCAGTCAGGAATTCTACATCAATTCACACTGTTTACAATTTATATTTTTGTGTATTACTATTTAGTATTTTTTTTATGGTGAACAGATAAAGAAGGCGTAATTCTCAAATTTCTTTTGTCAACAATGTTTCCAGAATTAGATTTAAATAAAAATCAGAATATAAGAATTTTCCGGGACCATGTGGTTATCCAAAGAAATGTACAATAATAAGATAACTTATTGGTCTGATTGTGTGGTTGGGAAATTCTTGCATAACAAGTAAAGCGTTGCTATCAATCACATGGTTATGCGAAAATAGCTATTAAAATAGCTTGATGGCAGGATACTGTCTAAAGCAACCTGTGCCTTTAAGGTTCATCTAGTGACGTAGACGTAGTAGGCATCAAATTATCAGTTATTATGAAATCAATTTAACTGTTTAACTTTATCAGTGTTTTGTTATCTCTTGTATCTTTCTAACCAATTCATATGGGAAAAATAAATATTAGTGCTAATACCAACGAATCACTGGAAGGATTGACAACGAAAAGTGATGAATGCATACAAACGGATGACATGGTAAGCTTTTCGACAGTGCGTTTAGCTATACTTTGAGTAATTACTTTATACAAGTTGTAACAGGATTGGAAAAAAGTGATAAAGTAGTCTAGTATATTTATGAACCATGTTACAAACTCACTGTCTTTGTATAATTCTGAAACATGTCTCTCTCTCCTCATAATATTGTAAAAGCGAGATATTCAAATTTATTTGAAATATAAGCTTTATTATTTTTGCAGTAATGGTTTACACATTAAATTGGTCAAGAATAAATACTGTTGAAAACGACTTCATTGCCTCATTTGTTTATTCTCTTTACATCCGTATGTCTCAGATAAACTTGAAAATACTAATTTGCATAATCTACCAATAAATCTAATCAAAAGTGCATTCCCTTATCGGTTATTCTTAGAACTACCCTAAAAATAAGTTTTCAGGTTAAAAGAGAATTCTTTTAGATAATTTGTGTTTAACATCCTATTTCTAAGCTTGAAAAAAATAAAGACACTAGCTAAGTGGAAGAAGTATGTTTATTTTAACGCACAGCTTCGAATTATTTCTGTTAGCTTACTTTATATAAAACAGCTGAAATACTGTGTGAGGTAACTGCTGACTAGATCACGATCTAGTGATGCGTGAGTTTTATTACTATTGCAGATGTACGTAAATTTATAAATGCAGTTGAAGATGACATCAGCTGGGTACTTATTCTGTTTAGATTGGCTTATTGACTATGTGTTGCTGTATAGTAACTTGAGCTTACCTGCAGGGAAGCTCCTTTCTAGTGCTTCTTTCATTGTTTTTGTCACTGTTTTGTGACACTGCTTCTATCTACTGATGTCATCTCCAACTGCTTTTATAAATCTACGTGTACTTGAGGCAGTAAGTATATTGAATGGACAGAAAGAAGGACTTCTATCCAGTTTTATGAGCATATCCGGAGAAATTTTTGCCTAAAGGGATTTAGATTTTGTTTCGAGATATTTGGAATGCCATGGTATAAATATTTATAAGGAAATAATTCTCTTAACAAACAGCCTATTTTGTTTATTCCTTGCTCAAGTTAACAAAATGTTTGATTATTCCGCACTTATGATTGCTATTGTTCGTGCTTTGCTTTTATTTATTTGATTACGGTAATTAAAAACTTTCTTATTTATTCATTTACAAGAGAAATGATAGTGAGAAGGAGGCTAATCAATCCAATAATATAGAGATGATTGATTCATTTACACAAAGTGATTTGAGATGGGACGATGAAAACAAGCATGCCGATACTAATTTAATCATGACTAAACGCAATGAGAATAAGGAGCAAGTAAGTTAACTTATAAATAAATTATTGATAAATACTTTAATTGTGTATTTCATGACTATAGAACTATGACACTAGGAGTAATTTGGAACATTCCTCCTGAACAGGATCCATATTTAATGAAGACGAGGAGTGATCCTGTGCAAATGGATTTTTATAAGGTGTGTTGAGTTACAAAGAAAAGAAGTCGTAACACCGAAGCAAAATTCTCTTTTCAACGAGATATTTTTAAGGACTGTGCACATGCATTTATACCTAACAAAACATTCATAGAACCAATCAAGAAAATGTATTACGTAATGTGGGATGCAATCTAGAAAGGAGTGAATGAGTAGAGATTAAAACTAAAAACTGGAATTGCTTATCCAGTGTAAAAAATGACTAATCACCCTGAATATATAAAAAGGATAAAAGCCATTTAAAGTATGGTTAAGTGTTTTATAAAATCTTTGTCACAAATGCTATCTTATTGATTAACAATATTAGCGATAGTAATAATTATAAACTTATAATAACAGTTGTCTTCGCTCAATACTCAAGATCAGATGGCCAGAGAAGATCAGCAACAGCGATCTTGGCAATCAGCGAACCAACACAACAGGAACCGATTGTGAAACAAATAGGCAGGAAGAAATGGAGATGGATTGGCTGGCCATACTCTGAGGAAACCATCAAGTGATATCACCACTCAAGCCATTGCTCGAGTGGAACCCGAAAGGGAAGCGGCGAGTTGGTCGTCAATGTGAGAGTGACCTGGAGGAGGTCATGTGAAGAGGAGATGAAAGCATGTGGGGAGACTTGGAGTAGGGTGAAAAAGTTGACAGAAAACAGAAGGCAATGGATATGCGCAGCTGAAGCCTCGTGTTCCTCTAGGAATTAAAGGACACAATAATGATAATATGATAATAATAACAAAAACGTGAAAACATTTAGGCGGTGGTTTCTTCTATTTAGGATCACCGGTTTGAGGCAATCAAAAGAGCTTTTTATGCAACTTTTATATTTATTTCTGCAATCAAAAAAGATGGAGTGGACGTGTCATTTGAACTGAGTGAATAATAAGAAGTATACTAATAAAGTAATCACTGCTACGGAAAATTCAGAGCTCAATCCTGGAACACTAATCTCCACTCGGAACGGAAAGAAATAAAATTTAAAAATTAATTCAATAATAATGAAAATTTAATCACAGCCATCATATCCAAAATTAAACATTTCGAGAAGGATTTCATTTGATTATTCTTTTGTCGGCATTCAACTCTTCAGTTAAGTGCTAAGGGACAGTCAACTGAACTGAGCCTTTCTAATCTCCACAGTTTCTTAAAGTAACTATCAGAGATAAATTTCACCTCTTTCACTGGAAAAAATGGTGACCATCATGTCATAAAAATCTTATCCGGGAAAATATATACTTGCTCAATTTAACTGTACGCTTGTTTTGTAAATAATCATATCATTTTATCAGATAACACCATGACTGAAACAATAACAATCTGTCAGTTCTATTAAACCGGAATTGTATTTTGTCAGCGCTCTAGAAGACAAAATATAGTTTAGCATCTCTTTTGTTAATTGAAGATCACTGTCTACCATTCATTTATTTACGAAACGAAGTACTTAGTAATGATCTAGCATAGTCACGATTCAACTGTGTATGCCTTTAAGATAATTAGTCTGTTGGTGAGTTGTTGCCCATTGGACTAGATATCAAAAGAAATAAGACCTGCGGAAACGGGAGAAACTAGAAGGAAGAATATGTTCGATGTCAACTAATTCCGTTGTAATTATGTAAATGTCATACATATTTTGTCATTGTCTGCGGTTGCACTAACTCCACCAAATTAAATGACAAACATGACACTACTAAACTTTTACGAAATCCGGCCATTTTTATTCCTTCGCTTCAATAATGCGAATAAATATAGTTGATTTCTAAACTGGTGTTAAGAAATGATATTGGATATTACGAAACATTAAGAATTAATTCGGCAATGTTTTGATAAAATGACTCCTGTATGATATAACGACTGTGCTGAAATCATCTGAATGGTTGTTTAATATTTCGTAGACAAGAAATGTAGTAAATCGTGACAAGTTGATAGTATTATTGTAAGTGTTGATTTGAAGGGGTTTGACTGGTTACCGGGTTTTCATCATAAGAGAACTATTGAGATAACTTGTAGTACTAGATAACTGTTTCGTCCTGGTTTTGGGACCTTCAGTGGCACGCACACTGCTTAGTTTGATAAAGGCTAAAGGCATTATATCATCACTGTAACATATAAGTTTCTCGGTGTTACACATATTTTTGTAAACAATAATATCACCCCAGGTCAATGCATTAAGTTTAATCAGGTGTACAATTTGAATCATTTACTACTTGGTATATTCATCCAAAATATTAATTCCTGTACTGTCGCAAACTGTAATACACTCTTGAGTGAAGTCTTAATATAATAGAGGGTCGCTATCTTCTCTGTATCCTAAGTATATCATACCTTTTTTAAAAGATCTTGACAAGTATGTAGACCATTGTCACATTGTCTCCAGACCTTTCGTCACCTGTATACATGTTTCTTTTGTCACTAAATGAACTAGGAGTTCCACCACGAGAATGTCAAGGATGAGATCATGCCTGAATTTGATAACACAAGTAGAGTATTACAAGTGACAGAAATTAAGAAAATGTTTTACTACATAAAACGTCGCTCACGAAGTAACTTATCCAGCATCTTCGATAAAGGCAACAAAAAGAATTTCTATGCTGAAGCTATTGACCTTTCCGGTGTTGGAACGCGATATCTACGTGCACATAAAATATGGGAATTCAGAATTGTTTTGTCATATCATTTCTATTAAAGTTGGTGCGAAATGAGGTTTGTAAAGAACGACTTCTGAAGTTTCAGAAAAGAAATTTCGTGGCATGAACTGGCCTAGTGGATTGTCATTTGTGATGTAAATGGATTACAGAGAATTTAAACATTAACAATTTTCTAGTTTTATTGCTGAAAGAATCCTTGAAAGTGAAAACTACTGGATAGCTGTTTCTTCTGATTTCTGGATTATTTCAGAAGAGCACAGCAATATATCATATCAGTCAAGCGGAGAATACCAGATTACGTGATGAGTAGATTATAATACAGTCAGTGGCTTCTTAAATAGTGATAAATCTATGAAAATGCTGATATTACGACAAAATAGTTGTCTACTTATTTCTTCTCAAGTTGATTACACCATCTAATGATACTTTCAGGACAAAACAACGTTGAAACGAAACTGACCAAACTTAATTACTTAAAATGTTTCCTCAAATTAATTACTTAGCTTTGAGTAAACACTAAGTATTCTAAATTTGTTGTCCTTCTTTACATAGGATACTCAGTATGAAGATGTTATCAGACAAAAACAACTTCAGTTGAATGAAATCCAGACAAATTACAATAAGTTATTCGAAATTTACACGCAATCTCAATTGAATTTTGAGAAGATTCAAGATGATCTTAAAGCACGCTTATATACAGCACTTGTGGAAAATAAAGAAAAAACGACGTATGTTTTGATATGGTTGTTTTGCTCACAGAATTTAAATTTATTCTCCCACATTTACACCATTAACATACAAGTGCTGTTTTCCATCGGAGTTTGATTTAGTTATTTGTACTTAAAGCTACATGTTGTTGATTTTGCTATTTTTGATGTATAAACTCCCTAAACCAGTGCATTGATGTTAATTCACTTGGTGTTTTGCTTTTATTTGCAAGGCAGTTTCTGTTCTCCAGGTCATGGATGCCACTATTATCCAGTCTGAGTTTCATGAATTGAGTATATCTTTATCTCAGGGGATGGTATTGATTACAGTGAAACTCAGTGGAGTTACTTTTCTCGAACATTAAGCAATGGGAAAACATTCATCAACATGGGAATTAGATATGATAGAGAAGATTTGTAGCTCAGGTGGATGATTTTGATGTGGTTTTGTTCTCTGAGCTGGATGGTTAGTTTGTGAAGCTTTCATCACCTTACTGGGTGACATCTTCAGCGCATACTTCAATTTGAAGTGAGCTTTTAGATTTCTCCACGAGTTTATTAATCATCTCTCCTGGTGACCTTGGACGTGATTGGTTGTTTGTGTGTGTTTTCACACCTTCTAGGTTTCTTGTATCGAAATTGATTGTTTCTTTGACTTGAACTTTGACCCTTTGTGTGTGAAGTTTGTTTCTTATTGGTTGATAAATTTTGTCTATCTCGATGTGTCTATTGATTGATGATCCACTGGAATGCCAAGCTTCTAAAAATTCTCTAGCATTCTTGTTATTTCCTTTGTCTAATATTTGAACGTTGTCCCAGTCGAATTGATGTCCGTAGTTGTCTGTGTGTAGTGAAATGAGGGAGTGGATATCATGTCTTTTGACGGCTAGCTTATGTTCGTGGATACGAAGACGAAGGGGACGTCCACTTTGGCCGATGTAGTGTTTTTCGCAGTTGTTACAGTTTATTTTGTAGATGATGTTGGTTTTGTCTTCTTTTGCTGTTGAGTCTTTCGGTTGACATAGAATTGAGTGCAGCGACTTTGTTGGTTTGTGTACGACGTCAATTCCCAAAGGTTTGAAGAGTCTTGTAGTGATTTCTGAGATATCTTTTATATATGGTAAGGCAATTTTCTTTGTGCTTTCCTTGGCGGCTTTTGCTTTGGTAGGTTGGCTAGGGGGTATATGTCTCTTGATGAAATGATGAACTCGTGGAGAAATCTAAAAGCTCACTTCAAATTGAAGTATGCGCTGAAGATGTCACCCAGTAAGGTGATGAAAGCTTCGCAAACTAACCATCCAGCTCAGAGAACAAAACCACATCAAAAACATGGGAATTAATTTAGATCACTATAATGAAAGTTAAGAGGCTTTTAGTAGACCAAGCAATATCGGCGACATAGCAGGGGAGTGTAGAGTTACACCAGCTCATTGTTTCATGTTTTTCTCTCTTAAGCAGGTGGGTAGTGGGTTAAAGTAACTCACCCACAGAAGTGCCCATATTTTCAGCTAACAGCCCCCAAGATGCATGAACTTATTGCTTCTGCTAGTCACTGTCAGGCAGGTGAAATAAGTGTGAAACCCAATCTAAATTGTAGCAACGTTACCGCCTGTTTTTTCTCATATCGGAAATGATAATATTCATTTGTTTCTGATGGATATTTATTTTGTAGCTAGTCATTTTAGATAGACGAGTCATACAAATGAATCATAGGGTGACGCCTTACACAACCTCTAATTTTCTAGTGCTAACGTAAGGTTGCTAATCAAGATTTCAGTGTGGGCTGGAAGTGTTACATGCACCCTAGCAAACGATTCTCAACATCTCAAATCGAAATTTCGTTCAACACTTCATTTGCAATGATTTTTCTTAATCTTTATTGTACTGCTTTGTACAGCATAAAAAGTGAAGACAGATAGCATGTAAGGAAAAGCTAATTAATTTAAATTTCACTTAATTATGCCGTGGCTAATCTCTGAATGGCTTTTTGTGTCTTGGAATAGTAGACATTTTGTAAACAGATTAAACAGATATTCACAAGTCTCAGAGGCTGATTTTGTGGCTTAGTACGTAACAACTATCAGTAATTTGTGTTTTGTACGTCGTGATAGGACGAATTTTCAGTCAAACCTCATTCTAAATCTTGTCAGAAATGAAGATTGTGGGCGAAATCTACAATTAAGCTAAAAAAAGAAATGGAATGCTGACTCTTACTATCTATTCTATGCTAAACGTGTTCCAGTAGTGTCACAGTTTCTATTCCAGTTTACAAAGTTAATCTACTGTTTGTGTTCATTAAATACATCGCTATCAAGCTCACTTAGCCTCCTACGTAATACTTATATTCATTACAAGTGTGTTTTTAAATGTGTATCTTAAGATATAGAAAATCGAAATACGATGTGAACTGAGAACACATAAGACGATAGGGAATAGTTTTATGGAGAATTTGCTTTGAGTCACTTCTATTGCATGTGTTGGGTGTAGGCTGGATGAAACCTGAATGAAGTATAAGAGATGGCTTCGCTTTTAGTTATTTTACATTTCCATTTTTTTCATCTCATGAGACATAACATTCATTCGAACCCCTAGAAACCATTGCATGCAAAAAAGAGATTTTGACAAACATTAAATTTTCTCTTTAGGTGACTTCTAAACTGATCACATGTGGATCTGAAGTGTATTATCGGTTCTCAGAGTACTTATGCACTTGCCATCACCAAACTAAACTAGAGTTACCTAAGAGTTTATTGCCGAAGAAGGATAAAATGTTGGTTAAAAATAAGTTCTGGTCTTTATGTCAGTAGTTTTACCAACTTAAAAGTTTGACTTCTTAAAACAGTATGTTCATATATATACATATTCATGTAACTGAGTGATAAGTGACTAGTGGCAAGAACTTCAGAAACACTGAAAAATACGCGTCAAGAGATAATCATTGTTGTTTTAGGTTGACTTCTAAGCATTTTGGTTATAGATGTAAACTAAGGGGGATTTCTAAGTCAAGTTTTCATTTATCCAAGGCTCTGTGTTTCCCTGTATTCGTCCGTGTACAGTTAGTACACAGAAATTATCTTACAGTATTATGTCCTAATTATCCTATTTCAATTTTCATCTCAGTCTGAAAGATCAAAAAGTGAGTTTCATGGTGGCTGAAATTAGGTGTGTGGATGCGTTAACATCTGTGGCATCTGAAATCTATAGTTGATGCATCCATGCAAATAGGTAGATTATTTAAAGTAACTAGAATCTCTTACTTGAAATGCTTATTCTAGTCAGTATAATGTTCTAGACTAAAATGAGTAAATTTCATGTAACTTTGAACTGCTCAAAATATTTACTTATGAAGTACTAATCTTTCAGTTTCTCATGTACCTTAATGTTTTATTCTAATTTCCCCTTCATTTATGTCACGCTTTAAAACTGATATCACCGTTACCATTACTGATAAATGGTAAAATCTTGTGCAAACTTGTGGCACACTGTATTTCATGCGTAATATGTAAATAGGTGATAATGCAGATATGCATTAATTTCTGTACTAGACTGTGGGTCACACAGACTACATTGTAGCTTATTGTCTCATTACTCTAATCTCCATAGACGAAGATACATCAAACATATAGCGCTTTGAATAATCGAACCGATACTTGATATCTTTAATCGCCACATATCACACAAAGAATAGGAAACTAGAAACACATCTCTCTCTCTTCGATCACATATGTCATTTATTTTGTATAGTTTTTATCATCTAACGAAAATTATGAAAGTGGTGTGTATAATTACATAACTCTGAGCAGTTTTAAAGGACCACGTTCCAAGAGTAACGTAGAACAGAAACAAGAAAATGTATTCGCATACAATAATTAAGGATCATTAGTTCCGTATTATTATTATTATATCCTTCAATTCCTAGAGGAACAAAGGCTTCAGCTGCGCGTATCCATTGCCTTCGGTTTTCTGCCAAATTTTTCACCCCGCTCCAAGTCTGTCCACATGCTTTCATCTCCTCTTCACATGACCTCCTCCAGGTCACTCTCACATTGACGACCAACTCGCCGCTTCCTTTTGGGTTCCACTCGAGCGACGGCTTGTCTAGTGATGTCACTTGATGGTTTCCTCAGAGTATGGCCAGCCAATCCATCTCCATTTCTTCCTGCCTATTTGTTTCACAATCGGTTCCTGTTGTGTTGGTTCGCTGATTGCCAGAGATCCCTGTTTCTGATCTTTTTTGGCCGGCCATCTGATCTTGAGTATTGGTCGAAGACAGCTGTTAATGAAGGTCTGTAGTTTGTTTCAGATGTTCTTTATGACGCGCTGGCCAAGTCTCTGATCCGCATAGCAAGTACCACTGACTTCACATTGGATTTGAAAATCCGGATCTTATTTTTGATGCTGAGTGCTGTTGACCTCCACACAGACTTAAGAGTAGTGAAAGCTTGTCTTGCTTTTCCAATCCTGGCTTTGATATCCTCGTCAGTTCCGTTGGCCTGTAGTTGAAACGATGCTTCCCATGTCGGTAGGTAAAGGGGGCTGCTTCTTTCAGGTTCCTCCCATTTATGCTGATTGTTGTCTGTTGTTGTTGCTGTTGGCCAGGAATCTTCATCACCTCTGTTTTCTCTATGTTCACCTGAAGTTCCATATAGACTGCTTAATTAATTCCAGCTAAATTTTCAGTTATCCAGTCTGTATGGGATGGAAGTGAATATCCTAATTGAGAACGAATAGTACTCTGTGTTGTAGATATCGATTTTTTTTGTTTTCATTTTCAAAGTTGGTGAACTTTTTGTTTTTATTATTGAGTTAGGAAATAACAAAATAAATAATCACCTTATCTTTACCACTAAAACCAAATTTTATTAGAAAATATATTCATTTAGTTAAAGTCTCTCTAGTTGTGTGGGAAAGATGAAATGAACAAAACAAAATATTTACGGATATGTTTGTTGAATCACTTGGTATTTGTTTCTTAAATGCTATTCCATATTTAAATAAGGCATTAAGAAGACAAATTTCGCGAGATGATATCGTCATTTCGTAGTTTCTTTACAACCGCTTTACAACTAACATGGTTAACAATGATAAAATAAAGTTCATGGAAATTACTCAGTTAAATAAAAACAAAAATACATACTAATGACCAATCATATTTAGAAAGGTCATGTAGTCCATGGTAGGCGAAGATTGAAGTCTATTGATTTTTGTACACACAGTCTGGGCTATATGTGATTAATCCAAAGTGCTTCCATCACCTTCAATAACCAACCTTGAATTAGAGTTATGTGGTGAAATAATTGTGAAGCAGTCATTGATATTGATTTAGTGACCTGACATTAATAAGTGTTTTGCAATGGACGATGCTGGATTTCTATTAAAATTAATCGAGTTAGGATTCGCGATATGATTTAGTAGCCATTTTGGAACATGTTCTTTTTGACGACATTGAAACATTCTGTTGGTTCTACCTATATAGTGTGTCACCGCAGCTGCAGGTGAACTTGTAGATACAGTTTGTTGTAGAGTCCACAGAATTTCGTCCTTTATTTTATCATTGTTAACCATGTTAGTTGTAAAGCGGTTGAAAAGAAACTATGAAATGATATCATCTCGCGGAATTTGGCTTCTTAATGCCTTATTTTAAATTTATCAAAGGGACTAATTGTTTCAATTTTCCCTATTCTATATGTTGGAGGTTATGTAACCTAATGTAATTCTTTTCGTATGACTGAACTTCACAAAGTCTAGATTGATATATCGAATTAAACTTCTGAAGGAAATGATCTATTTCTAATGCTACATACATTGGAGATTTTGTGTGAATTTATACTTTATAAATTTCAACATGCAATCATGATAGTTAGCATTGAGCTAACGTTTGGTTTGTGACAGGATTAATAAAAAGGCCTGTCCACTATTATTTCCTACTCAGTCGCCTTAATGATGGGTTGTTTTGTTACGATGTGAATGTCTAACTTTTGATTACCACTTATGTATTCTTCTTTGAAGCTGTCATTCGGATCACTCTTAAGGATTAACCACCCACTCTGGCAAGTTTCTTTCTGAGATCAAAAGGCATTAAATATATTATTAGTGAAAATAATGAGTTGGTTGAGACGAAACTGAGTATTATATCATAAAGCAGCATTAAAAAAGAAATTGTTAACAAGAATACAGCAATTTCAAAATATTATAGATGATTATCCGTTTTGTTAATAAAGGAATCAGAACTGCACAGCTATAAAGGAGACGTAAGACGTGAAGTGAATTTATTCACATTCAAACGTATCCTAATTACAGGATTTTCTTTTCAGTGATCGTTCTGTGTAATTAAGTTTATTTAGTTTTTAAGAGCTTGTTTGTAGGCATTTAATTTATTTCACGTTTTATCGCTAACCGATATCAGCTCTCCAGTACTTCCTGGTTTTAAATGTTTCCCTGACTGATATCAATCCGTGATCAAACCTGAGTTTAATTTCATTATAGATAAAATTTTATTTTGATAAGATCACACAGTGTTTTATACAGTGATATTTATTGATGACGTTCTGAGCTCAATTTACTGCTCATAATCATATTAAGGTACTGACAAAACTTTCTTGCTTCGTTTATATACAAGAGTAAAAATTGATAAGACATTTGAATAAAATCAATATAAGACTTGCGTGAACCAGAATGAGAAATGAAGTACATTCGGACATAATATAAGTGTTATCAATAAAATACAAAAGGATGAGAAAAAAGACGAGTGTTGTTAGTCAGTAAGGTGGGAAATAAGTTGTTTTTATTGTAAAATAAACAACTTGCTAGAATGTTATAATGTGAATTGAATACATTTTGACATTATTTATTATCCTCTGATTTGACTGGTTATAATATCTTCCATATATCTGGTATTGGAGTTGAGTCACTTCTCTTGCATATGTTGGGTGTAGACTCAGTGATCCAGGATTCAGTAATCAACCTCTCTCTCTCCACCAACCTATATTACTTTTAAGAATTTGAACCCTCTCTCAACCTTTTGTGTGGTTGTATGTTAATGCATGCATTGCAATTGCTGAGCTTTTTTCTAAATTACTCACCTTCGCGAGGTCAGTCATTCTCACCTTAGCTAAATTCTTATGTTCTGACAATCTCACTACTCTTGATCTACTAGTGTTACCTATGTAGTTTACATCACAGTCACTGCAAGGTATTTTGTAAATTATATAATTTTATCTAGCTGGGTCAACAGGGTCTTTTAACCTTCACAGCTTGTCTCTGAGTGAGTGTGTAAGTATGAATGCCACCCTAATTCCTGCTTTATTAAGAATCATACATGGGGTTTCTGATGTACTCTCCTTAAATGGTGTAACAGTAGATGTCTTATATTCCCTCTTATTTATGTTATCATTACTAGTTTCACAATTATTTTTATTTTGCTTTTGGCCTTTGCTGATCTTCCTAATGAAATTTATAGGATATTTATTTGATACCAGCGCTTCTTCTGTCTGTTTTATTTCATCATTTAGGTCTTTGTTTGTACTACTTAGTGCTACTGCTCGGTTAGTTAGACACTTAACTAAGCCTATCTTAACAGTTAAGGGGTGAGATGAATTAAAGTCTAAATATCTATTAGAATGAGTTTCTTTTTTATCCATAATGGATTTATGCTGTACCAGAGTGCCCAAGTTTTATCTTTATATCAAACTTTACTTAGTGTTAGACGTGCTGTTTGTTATCTTCACCAAAGCTTAATTTTCGATTTTCGTATGTACAGTGGTGCTGAAAGGGAATATGTTTAGAAACGATAATATTCCTCTGCCAGTACAGAATTATTTAAACCGCTTGATACAGTATTGAATTTTGTTGAATGTTTCATGGCATTATGTAAATTGAAAGGTGATCAGAATTTAGGTTAACTTATTTCTTCAAAACAAAACAATAATCTGAACGTTGTACCGCATTACGATGAACTCATATTTTTATTCCTACATAAATATCTAAGGTTCCCAATAAATAAAGAAGTAGTAGTCTCTTTTTGTTTCAGTGCTTTCAAAGGAGATTTTGATAATTAAATTGTTTCTTTATCTCATATTTCTTTGTGTCTCAAATATTTAATCGATTATTTTCTTGGTGTAGAGTATACTATATTCGAGAAATATTAAGCGAAATGATGTAACTATAGTCAGTTTTAGGACTTCATCATGAGCTGACATTAGTTAGAGAACCAGTGGAAAACCTGGGAGTACTGGACAGCTGTTTCGTCCTAGTTTGGGACTCTTCACAGTACGCATCCACCGGGATTCGAACCCAGGACCTTCCGGTTACAATGAAATCCTAAAACCAATCAAATCCCTACAAACCAACACTTGTATAGTCAGTTTTGTTGCTGGAATGGCTCTTAAAGTCACTTATTTCATGGTCCTGTAGATAAATCCTCATCCCAGTAACTGAAGTAGACAATGCATTTCAATCATAAATCTTTTCTATTTTTAATTTATCCTAATTGTTGGAATTCTTTACAGTCTGATCGAGGAGATGAAAAAGAATCTGACTCACGAAATACAAACAACAAAAGAATATTATGAAAATGTAACAGCGAAACAGAGAACAGAGTTTACGCTAGCGCAGAATATTTTAAAGTCCAAGATACATGAATTACACCAACAATTGTTAGTATGTTCATGTGAATCATTAAAAGTAAGTGTGAACTGATAATAGGATTGAATCCCTTTCGTGATTTGTGATTTGCAGGTGCTACGACCAATCAGTTAGTATGAGTCTTGAAGTGAAATTCTAACTAGTTGTGATTGTTTGATATTCTCTATAACTGTGGTATTTGATGGTGGATATTTCACTACCAGGGATAGTGATAGGTATTCATTACTGCCTTCATTTAGAAGTCAGATGTGTTTCCAGTTTGCGTAAGTATTTAGGTTTCATTTTTCTTTGTATTGTCCAAATCGGAGTTGGAGTGACTTTCATTAAATGAAATAAAATTTTAAAACTCAGTTAGCGCCTAAGCCAAACTGTATTATATCAGAAAAACAGTATTCAATCTCAAGAGAAATAATACTTTCTCTTACAAATCCATACACTGTAGCACTAACATTTGTAAATACTGAACTAAGGCGGTCATAACTGTTTACCTACGGCATTTGAGATAATATTTTTGGTGTAAACGAGGTATCATTGTGACAAAAAGTTACGCATATGGTAATTATGTAGTAATACACAAAGTCTGAATCGTCAGTCCCTTCAATCTACTTTATAAGAATTCATATTACACATTTTTTTGATTGACTCAATAGTTTTCACTAAGTTGTTATTGATTAACATAGTACATTACAGTGCTGCTTTCAGTATATGTCACCTGTGCTGCTTGGTAGACAAATTCAGTGGCTAACTAGGGGATATTTTATAGTTTCTAAATCTACATGAGAAAAGAAGTCATCCTAAATAGAAATTTCTGACTGCATCGATACAGGTATAGACATGAAAATTATTTAACGGATTGTACTTTAATGTTAAGCCCCTCTGATGTATTATATCACTTAGAATGAAAGTTGCCTGTTTCTACCTAGGACAGTTAAAAGATTTGAAACTTGGAATGGTTCATTCACAGATAAGAATATACAAGCAAAAAAGATTAATCACGTTACTATCCAAAAGCAACAAATTGCGTGAGAGGAGCAGTCTGCTTTTGGTATTTTTCGAGAACAGCTCATAATATGATAGCGGGGTTTCAGTGGGCATGAAATGATGACCATCATTCAAGTAAACCAAGTTCAAGACTTCATACATCTTTGATCAGTTTTAAGAGAAGAAACAATAGAAATATACTTGTCTTGGAAAATTTCTATGTCATATATGCTAATTCCATACTAGCATGTTGATTGGACCCTATTAGCTATTCTTGTGTCATTTAGTCTTTAGTGTTTGCAGAAACCTACTGGTCAGTTTTGCAGAGTGGTCATCAAGTAGAGAGTCTAGTTATTACCGTAGACTTTGAATTCATGTCAAATATTTGGAGGTATTCGCATACAGTTTTCGATAAACACGAAACCTAAATTCGAGCTTTCTGTTGACTGCCTTCAACCATCCCATAACTTTTTAATATCTAAGCCAGCCTAATAATTGAATCTCCAGTTATAACGCTATAGGGGGGTGTATAGTTTTTTTTTCATACATAAATCGTTATATCTATTGCTAAGTACTCGGCGTTTTATCCATAATCTCTTATTTCCTGTTTGCACGTATAGAATACATTAAATACAGGGCACCAGTAAATAAAAATAAGTTAAAGTTCAATTTTAAAAAATGATCAGAAAAATTCAGTTCCAAATAGATGGTTAGTAAGATGATAATGTCTCCTAATTGGATAGTAATTGGTTTAAGTTTAATGCTTGTCCATCATGAAATTATTCAGCGTGGTCTTATTTAATAGACCTTATTTTGAAACAAATAAAGAAAGAAACCACCAATTGCCCTTAATATCTTAAATTTCAAAGGGTATTGTGTGAATAGTTTAATACAGTGCAAATTATTCATCATGGTATTCTGTTATGCTGTTCAAATTATACATATGCTCAAAAAGTCTTATGAAGCTGTACTTTATCTAAGCTAAATATTTCCATTTTTCTCAGCAATAAATTATCACTAGATTGAGGTCTAAATTGCTTTTGAAGTGGATTTTTATTTATTTAGGTGGCAAGTCATGTTTTCGATTTAACCTTTTTTGCATGAATAATTTCTTTTTGATGTGCAGCTTTTCTACTGACACTGAGTGACCTTAGGCTCTTTCTTTTCAACTCATGCGATACAATGTACTATTTACTGATTCCGTTTTTTTTACTTTTGTGTCGCCTTTTTCATGCAGATGAAGTGTAGCAAGTTATCTTCGAAAAACAATTACTGCCTGATATTCCGTTATAAGGAAGCAGAATTTAACTTCTGATGATGTGTCATCATCACTAATGGCAACAGAAGCATTTTGTCAGTCGAAAATTCTAACCAGTACATCTACAAACCATGACCATAGTTGTATAACACAACAACGTGAACAAACTCGTCTCTATATGGATAATAAGAGTCAAGGGGAATTTCGTCTACCTGCTCTATCGACATAAAGCGTTTATGGAGTTTTAAATATGCAGTTATTAAAAAGTAGATATCAGTATTACTGTGTAAAAGCATTCACATAGATTCACACTTGTGTACGCACAAATACATTGGATAAACACTTTTATCAGTGTGAATGTGTGGCTGCATGAAAATCACTTAGCTCGACACCGAATATTTTATAAGCAGTTTGAAAATTAATTGTAATTTCCATTCTCTATTAGTTAATAAAGTGAACTAAAATTATAGTCCTGATAAACAGTAATTCCGCAGTTTGTTTTGCACTAAAGTGTTCATCATTAAAAGGTAGTGAAAAAGTTTGGTGAAACATTTTTAAAGCACAAATAATTTGTATATGATTGTGAAAGCCATTTTGCTCACCAGTCAGGTGTAAGTGTTGACAATAACATAAATAAGAAGGAATCTAAAGCATCTTCAGTTTACCGATTTGAAGAATTGACATCTGAAACCCTACATACGGTTTTTAATAAAGCGGGGAGTACGGTGACATTCAATCCTAAAAACTCACTCATGGACAATCCTTGCAGTTAACAGTACCTAATACCTCTTGTTACTCATCCAAAATACCTTTCAGTCACTGTGAGTGAGACCAACAGGTCGGGGTCAGTTAGTTTATCGAAATACAACAGTTTAGCTAAGTGAGAATGACTGCCGTCGGGAAGATGATTGACTTAGGGGAAAAACTCAGGAATCGCATAACATGTATTAATGCACAGTCACACAATGGGGTGGGATAGAGCTATAGATCTGAACAGCAATATAGTGAGGTGAGGGAGAGGTTAGTCACTGAACCATTTGTTTATCCAATTACACCTAACTCTTACAACAGGAATGATGGAACGACAATATCAGAGATACGGAAAATATTACTAAAAATAAAATTAAAGGATAAGAAATGACGGAATTATATCAAGAAAGTTTGAAAGTTCAGTGAACACCTAATATGATTACCAGCAATAAGGTGTGCTAGAAGCGTATTCAGTGAGTAATACTGTATCACTGTACTGTGAGATTTGATCAAATAAATTCATTCTATGTAACTAATCAGTGTTCATACTCTCAACTATAATGTTGATTTAATGTTTATTAAGCAATTCAACGTTGAGTGTTAACGATATCAGCATATTTTTAAAATTAGTTACAATAGTTCAATAGAGAAATAGAATAATGCATATTATTGAAATAATAGAGAAGATTTGTAATTCAGGTGGATGATTTGCAATTAACAGTGTTCTCTGAGCTGGTTGGTTTAGTTGCGGAGCTTTTGTCGTCTTTCTGGACGACATCTTCAGCGCAGTATTTAGCATAAAGTGAAATGATTTAAATTTCTTCATGAGTAATATAATTGCGTCTCCCGGTAACCATCTTTACATATCTATTGACCGTTTTCTATTGACTTGGATTTGAAACTTTCTGGTCACCTGATTTACTTTTTATTAGTTGGTATATTTAAGGTAGAAGACAATGAAATAATGGCCTCCTTTGATGTCACAGCATTATATACTTCAATTAGTCCAAAACTAGCAACAGAAACTATGCAACAATTACCCTATAGTGATGAAAACATAAAAACGCAATGTTCAACTTGGATAGAACTCATAAAATTATGCCTTACAACATACTTCCAATTCAATACTCAAATATATGAACAAATAAAAGAAACACCAATGGGATCGCCCATATCAGGATTAATAGCTGAAGCCGTTATGCAAAGATTAGAATTAATAGCTCTACCTATAATTAAACCGAAAATCTGGGTACGTTACGTTGATGATACATTTGTAATAATTAAGAGAAATGATTTAGAATATACCCATAAATTGATAAACAACATATTTGAAGACATCAAATTCACAAGAGAAGAAGAATTAGATAACAAAATCCCATTTTTAGACGTCTTAATCAGTAGAATCAACACAGGAAATTTAAAAACTCAATTATATAGAAAATCTTCAAGTATTGGTTTTGTAGGGATTCGGTTTGATTGTATGGAGGATTCAGTCATGAGCTGATATCAGTTAGAGAACCACTGGAAAACCCATCTGGGAGTACTGCACAGCTGTTTTGTCCTATTTTGGGATTCTTTAGCAGTAGGCACCCACTGGGATTCGAACCCAGGACTTTCGGGTCACAGTGTCTCAATGGTCTACGAGCTCGCCTTGTAAGCAGAAGGTCCTGGGTTCGAATCCCGGTGGGTGCGTACTGCTGAGGAGTCCCAAACTAGGACGAAACAGCTGCGCAGTACTCCCAGGTGGGTTTTCCAGTGATTCTCTAACTGATGTCAGCTCATGATTGAATCCTCCATATAGAAAATCAACGCACACGGATCAAATACTCGACTATCCTAGCAATAATCCAATTACTCACAAAAGAAACTGTGCGCAGACATCGTTTAGAAGAGTTCAAACACATTGTAGCACTCCAGAGTTGAAAAGAGTGAAAGAAAAATACTTACAAACGGTCTTCAAGAGGAATGATTATCCACAAAATTTCATCAAAAAGTGTCTAAAGTCGAAACAAAACACCGACAAAGACCATCATCAAAGACCAAAAAAAATTCATCCTACCATACATCAGAAATATCTCTGAAGTAACGGCTAGAATAATGAAACCGTTTGATATAGATGTAGCACACAAACCAGCCGAATCACCTAATTCGATCTTATGCAAAGCAAAAGATCCAACAGAAAAAGGAGATAAAATTAACACCATTTACAAAATAAATTGTATGAACTGTAACAAACATTACATCGGCCAAAGTGGGCGTCCCCTTCGAATAAGAATCCAAGAACACAAATCGGCCGTGAAAAGACATGATATAAATTCTTTAGTATCAATGCATACAAACGATTATGGACATCAATTTGATTGGGATAATGTCAAAATCTTAGACAGATGAAACACCAAAAATGCAGTCAGGAAATTCCTAGAAGCCTGGTACTCAAACGAAAATGCAATTAACAAACACGTTAATATAGACGAAATATACCAACTAATAAAAAGTAAATCAGGTGACCAGAAAGTTTCAAATCCAAGTCAATAGAAAACGGTCAATAGATATGTAAAGATGGTTACCGGGAGACGCAATTATATTACTCATGAAGAAATTTAAATCATTTCACTTTATGCTAAATACTGCGCTGAAGATGTCGTCCAGAAAGACGACAAAAGCTCCGCAACTAAACCAACCAGCTCAGAGAACCCTAATAAGTGCAAATGCATATTATTGATTTATTGTCGGTAATCAAAAAAGTGTTGATTTCAGGTACCATAATACGTAAGTTAATCAGATGATAAGGATGTAAATTTATTCAAATGAACTGTCGTCAAGATTGACAGATTAGTTCTAAAATATTTGGGCGCCGATTGAGAAGTAGACATTTGTAAAAAAATTATATTTGTGAAATCTCAGCGAGATTGAAATGAGTAATTTCAACGTTTCGTTCGTCAATCTGGTCCGAACTTCTTCAGGGAAATTAATCGAAATTAACATAACAGAGGTTTATATATAAAAGGAACGTTTCTTGTTTTTACAAACTTCGTCAAACATGATTCATAGAGCAAGTGACAATAAGTACAATAAAAAAAATTCTATGAGCTGCGATCAAAATTTGAATTATCTGAATTATTTTGCAATCGAATTAAATTAACAAATGAACTATGTAATTGGCACAATCATCGTGTTTTCACTGTCCGTTATCTGCAGCAAAATGCAAATCTTAAATCCGTAGCTGTCGAGTCACCTGACAACTCCAGTAGGTCGAATAAAGCAGCTCAATATTCAGAAAGAAGACAAAGCAATAAGTTCGACAGAGTGCTCTAACTAAACTCTAATCCTAAATACTATAATTTTGAAAATACGTCTAATCATAAAATTCTAGTTGAACAGACATGAAGGTGTGATGTTAGCTGATGCAAAGGAAATCCTGATTAATAAATGAAAATGATATGTTTCACTAATTAATTAATAATACTTGGTCAAAATTCCTGACTGTCTATATTTTCTTATGGAGACGTCAAGAAATGTTTTACAACTGTTTACCCACACACGCATGCACACTCTGTTTAAAGTGTTAACAAAGGTAGACCAATATTTGTAAGTCCGAGGTCAAATCTTAATCATAGCTCATACAATTTTGTTTATTATACTTGTTTCACTTGTTCTATGAGTCATGATTGGATGAAGTTTTTAAAAACAAAAAACGTTCCTTTTATATATAAACCTAGGTTACGTTAATTTCGATTAATTTCCTGAAGAAGTTTGGAGCAGATTGCGAACGAAGCGTTGGAATTACTCTTTTCAATCTCGCTGAGATTTTACAAATATAATTTTTTTACAGATGTAAATTTATGTTTACTGAGAAAAATATATTTTTGGAATCTATAATCACGATAATGAATCTATGTCTCATCGCTCCAACGTCATACTTAGTTCCAAATATAATTCTTGTTGTTCACTTACTTTAAGCTACCACTCTGTAGTTGGTGGAGAACTACATCTGATAATCGAGAAACTTATTTATCGTAGAATTATAAATAATATTGTCAGCTAATACCAATCGTGTCCAGTAGTCCAATGATCAATAGAATAAGAAAATTTAAATAACTGAATTGTAGTGAATTTATATTATGTCATTTATTCGATTATTTTTTTATTTTTATTATTTTTGGTTACAGCTTGATTCCACACCGTATTTTTGGTACAAGTATGGAATTTTCAGCATAGATATCGGTAGCCCAAATTTCGCAGACCGACCATAGATATGAAGGTGTGCGTCGACGTAGGCTCGAACCACGTACCATGTGCATGGTCGGCGAGAGTCCTAACCACTGTGCCACCGACGCACATTTTTATAAAGGGAGGACCGTGAGGCCTCCCCAGTGACAAAAACTACACGCCCGAGCGCACCCGAGTAGGTTCCGTCGCGAGTTTCAACCCACCGAGGTGCAATGGTGAGCCTCCACCCGGGGTCAGAGCATTCTTGATCACCCTGAACCCGGTACCAGGTATAACTGCACACAGTTTTCTCCGAAAGTTAACTCTAAAGTAACTTTTAAAATATACAAATCGGTAACTCAGTAAGGTTGAAAATGCTCTGTCTAAGTGTGTTGACCACAGTAATCTAATAATTTGTTAAAATAAATATTTTAT